TCTTTAATAATTAAATAATGTTTTTAGAAATTGTGAACCATTTCAAATGTTTGCCTCAGTGGCCTCAACGTTTTTACAAACAATGATTTTATACAAATTTTATACAGAAATGTATATTTGATATTTATTTTCTACTATTTTTAAGACAATTCCATAAAGCATAATAATTGTATAAAATGATTGAATTTATTATTTTATTTTTAAAAACTTGACCATTTCTTAATATATATTTATATTTATATATATATTTTTTTTTGGGTTAGTATTTTGGTTGTGTACCAGTGTATAGTACACCCCACAAATGGCCAATGTTGGGGTTGTTTTTTGGTTCAACGTCTAACACAATTTGAGCACTACAAAATTGGCGGCATTTCAACGCATTTCGATGCTTGCGGCCGAATGTTTTGGGTGGTGGCATGCGGCTTGTCGCCATTCTATGCTAGCATGGTGGGTTGTGGCTGATGGGTGGCTGAAGGGTGGCTGAAGGGTGGCTGATGGGTGGCTGTTACTTAGTGTTGGTAAACGAGTGCAACTGTTTTGATTTTGCACACAAAAGGTTGCTCGCGTGCGTTTCTGCTTTTAATTTGGCAATTTGTTCCGTTTTTGCTTTTTTTTTTGGCAATGTGGACAAAATTTAATTGCGTTCATAAATTTCATGCTACATTCACATGAAATAATTCTTGTATTTTATTGTTTAGTTGGTAATATCAGGGCTAACATTAGCTTTAAAATAAATCATGGTTATTATCTGACTGACCCACTTAAGAGGTATTTAATATTTTTGCTGCAGTTTTTAAACATTATCTGCCCCAAAAAGTAGGCAGCTTTTTTCTTATAGTTCAGTCTTTTTTTTTTTTTTTGTCTCACGTGCGCGGCTGCTGGAAATTGAAAAACGTCGCCGTACGAGACACGTATTACCTCGGCACATGTGTAAATCCAATTCAAAACATGCCAACTTTTGCTACTGCAGCAATGCACACGATTTCATTTTTTTTTTTTTTTGTTATCTTTCGTTCTGTCGAAAAATACATTTAACATTTGAGATGAGCGCTGTCTGTCCGTCTGGGCTGGTGGTTTTGGTGCTGTGCACTTGTCACGTGCCCCCCCACCAAAAAAAAAAAAAACTAAACACTAAACAAACTTTACACACTGTACATTTTTCTGTTCGGCAGGGGGTTTCTGTTGTGTTTGATTTTGGTCAAAGAATTCGGCTTCAGCTGAATTCCAAAGTGCATGAAAAATATTTTGCTACAAAATGCAGCCGTCGAATTATGCAAATGAAGCAAGCGCTGCTCAAAATGTGCAAGTCATGGACTCATTTTGAATCGCAAATACATACATTAACATAAATATGAATTTATAAAATAAAAAATGCCAATGGTTGGCGGTTAGTCTACCTTCCTGCCTGTCTGCCACACAATGTTGCTTGCAATCACTGTGACAACGAAAACGACTCTTTTGTGCAGCAGGAGCCAACAATATTGCAGTGTGTTTGCTTTGTTCTTTGCCAGCTTCATTTAACTTCAAAAAGGCACAGATGAAGCATACAAAGAAAACAAAAAACAAATTTCCTTATTCCCATATAAATTAGAATGAGTGGACTTGAGCCACTTGACGGCGCAATGCCAAAAGTATCTGGGTGTGTGTGTATAAAAGGGGATGCAGAAGCGCTTCTAGGTATGCACTCCCCTGCCTTCAAAAGCAGCTAAAGTGCCATTTAGCATATTTTGGTGGCATGTTGGCTATGTGCCTGGCATGCCAGTGGCCTCTAATGGAGGCAATGTCGAAAGTCGTGGCCACAGTGCACGCGAGAACTGTGCTCTTAAGCAGATAAATGCAGTTAAGTGGAGCCGCGCGCTTTGCGAAAGATAACAAAACAGCAAAAAATACTTGGACTCCTTGTGGTGTGTAGAAATTAAATACTCTTGCAATATAATATTCTGTTCTATAATAATAAGAATATGCTCATGAAATGTTCCAACTGTGTAGAAAAACTTAAAATAGGTGATAAAATTAATATTTAAAGATATTGGAGATAATATTCTTAATGCTGCTACGTATTAGTTATTGGTTACTTTAGTGAAGAATGCTGCGATTTCTAAGTAAAATCAAGTCTGTGCGAATAGCCGATGAACTGTTAACAGCTTGCTTATATGAAGGCTTCGAAAATATAAAACGTGAGAGTAAAGGTATGAAAAGCGCATTTTAAATTCACGCCATGAGTCACCAAACGACTTAGAGAAGCATACGCAAAGACACAAACTGAGTGTTTCACACACAACCACACACACATATACACACACACATACACACACACTTGCGAGAAAACCATAAAGTGGCTGTTTCATTTTGCGTTAAAGTCCTGCGAACGCGACAAATTGCCCAAAGTGGGTGGTTGTGTGGGGGGTGGCAGGAGCGAGCTGTCATAGTAGTGAAAAACAAAGCAAATGCCCCAAGGGGGGAACCAAAAGAAATGTTAGCATCTGCATTTATGACTTTTGCGGGCAGGCTAATCTGATGCTGAGCATGTCAAGACAACCGAGCCAACCCCTCGAAGAGCCAAAACGAGACGTGGAGCTAAGGACAGCTCGAGAGCACATGGCTGTCGCTCGGCTAAAGGACACAAAAGCGACAGAAGCAAGCAGCAAACATGTAAAGATTGTAATTAACATAAAATTAATATCAACATGTTGAAGCAAGTCCTTGGCATCACAGGATATTGTGGGAGTAGGGACGCAGGCAGCCGACAGTCGACAGCCGACAGTCGACTGTCAGCCGGACTGTTGACAGAGCTCAAGACTACACAATCCCGAGTACATATGGGATATGCATACATATATGCATTTACCGTTGTTTGCTTTCCCACTGGAGGAAGAGAAGCTGCTACTGCTGTTGGTTTTATGTATCTCATCTCATTTCATCTCATCCGTTGTATCCTGGCCAACAATAAGCAACAAACTTTGCAGCTCTCTAGAGGCAGCTCTGTCGAAGGCACAAATAATTTGTTTCACTAGAGTGTCTTAAAATTGAAGTTTACACACAGGTGTGTGCCAAACTCAACCTCGAATTTACGAAAATTTGTTGCCAAATTGAAAACAGAGCTCAACTGAACATTGACATAAGGCGTATTAAACTAATGTCTTTAAATGAACTACATATAATTGAGGGAAATTCATAACGTATATATTTAAAGTACTTTACTGTAAATATTTGGTTTGGTTTTTCATTTAAGCAAATTTAACAACTAAATAAATAAATAAAATTTAAAGTGGTTTACCAAAATCGGATTACTTTAGCAATATGCATTAGCTAACCGGTGAGAGTTTAATTGCTTTCATGAAAAACAAAATGTTTTTTCAAGATTAATTTTCTCTCTTTATGTCTCTAATATCTGTTGGAGTACAGCACTTTCGACACAAGTAAGTAAAACTCAAAGGTGTTAACTCCTGGTGTGCAATTACTAATTAAATTTAATCAACGGCTTACAAAACAATTGTAAAAATGAGTAGTTACAGCTGTTAATTACACGTGTAATAACAAATTGTTTTATTTTTACATGACACGCTGCAAATGAGGGCTGAACATTTTGGCCAGCTGGCAGTTTGTTTAACAAAACGCAACATTTTGTAATAAAAGGCAAGCCACAGCCACTCATAAATGTTAACGGTTTGCGGTGTTTCGCTTTTGCTGTTATTATTGTTTTTGCTGCTGCCTGCAGCAAATCCCGGTTGGAACACGCAATATATGCGGCCTACCTGGTTGCCATTAACGGTAGCCATCTCTATAGTTTGCCTCTAATTATGCATGTTGCGGCTCAAAGGCGCAACACATAAAGCAAACGTCAGACAAAGACGACAACTGGGACTCGATGGATGTACATGTGTGTGTGCCTATTTGTGTGTGGCTGTGTATATACATCCGTTGGGCAACATTTGCTTTGCCAATACGCGACGCCTTAATTGCGCCAACTGCAACTGCAGCAGCAGCTGCACTTTCCGCATGGCTTGTTGCCCCGTCACACACAACTCTGTTGTCAGTGTGGCAACGCCTTTAGCGACTGATTTATATGTGCTTTAACGCATTTTTTAATCCACAATTTAAGTATTTATTGACAAACAAATTTCTTGAAGTAAATTAACTTGGAAGAAAAAATGTAATAAGTTGCTACGCAAATATAACTGAACAGTAAAAATAAATTAAAGCGAGTTTCAAAATTAATAATAAAACAAATTAGTCTTAAAAAATGAATATTTTCGACTAAGTATACAAAAAGTATGAGAGTTTTTTCATCATATGTTTCTTTATTTACAATGTACCTCAAGTAATAAGTGAGTTTTACGACAAATGACATTCGCAGCAATTTATATTTATGTTACCAGGGAGACATCTTTGTTGTGGCTATGTTCCTTTAATACTCCGGTAGGGGAACTTGAAAGGAGGGAGATCCAGTGGACAGCAGCGAGTATTGCTGTTGTCTTGTGCTCAAGTCGAGGTGACTTCTGTGTGGGCTCAGCTTTAAGCTGAATCGACGTAGGTTACTCCATGATTGGGCAGCCTGCGTTCAGATCTAAAGCCCAAGGGACTGCGTATTTCGTTTGTGCTAAATTTAAATTTTAGAGAAATTCAGTTATAATTAGGACGTTGATTGGATCCAATTAAAAACCAAAAGAACTTAAAATATATAAATATTTGTCGGTTAAATATGAAACATTTTTTTCACACAAGGTGACAGCATACGTCTTGACTTTAAATTTATTAAATTTGAGTTTTTATGCTGGTAAAAATATGAAGGGGCAAGTTATAGAAAACTGAAAGTGCAATTATTGCCTGAGATATATATTTACGATGTTATAGACTTGACATTGTACAAAACTTTAATTAAACTTAAGGAACTATTTGCGACAATGATGTGAAAAGAGATTGCAAGCATAAAACATATTCAGCATTTCTTGTGTGCCTTACGAATTATCTAATTTATTTTCATACCATTCTCATTGCAGCTCATATGACATCTAATCACAAGGAAACAAACACTTCCATATAGTGTAGACAAGAGCAATTTATATTCAGTGCTAAAAATGCGACAGCAATCAATGAACGCTGGGCGCTATAATGAAGCATATCAGCGAGCAAATAATATTGGGTATAACAAAACCAATCGCAATAATAACAATACATATAACAACGGGCATAACAATGAGCATCACTTAAGCAAATAGAAAATCAACGCGCAAAATCAATACAAAATCAATACAAATAGCTGTGAAATTTGCTGTCAATATTTGCTAGCAGCGGAGTCATAAGCGTGTCGAGAAAACAAACGCGTTAGAAAGGACAAACAAAGGGACAGGATAAACCAAATTCATTTCAAATGGGTGGTAAAAACGGAGCCAATACCAGTGGCGGTGCTGGCTTAGGTGGTGGCGGTGGCAGTCTCAATTCTAGCATCTGCAACTCGGTGATGACGAATGCAACCACAGCCAGCAACAGTCTCAGCCAGCAGCAGCAGCAGCTTCAGGCCAAGTATATCAAGTCGAAACGCCATCAGAGTCGTTATACCAATTTACAGCATTCTGGTCACGATTCCAGCAGCTATCTGCATCTTAATTCGCTCTGGTCGATATGGTACGGCGTACTGCTAACACTTTTCCAAGGCTACTTGGCTATGCACGGCGCCTACAGGTTCCTCGGTAAGTGAATCGCAATTGTCCACATAAGCCATTAAAAGTACACAAATTTACTAACTAAAAAAATTTTAATGTATTTTTAGTAACAATTTTGATAATTTGTATTTGTAGAAGAAGTGCACAGAAAAATTAAGAGAGAGAGAGACAGAGATATGTTGAGAAAGAGAGAAAAAGAAAGTACAAAACAGATTATTAAAAGTATAATTTTTATAATTTTCAACCGACAATCTTATTTAAATTAGCGAATCAAATCGAACCAAAGTTGATTTCCGGTTCCGGTTCTGGTTCTCAATTTCAGTCGGTTCCTCCATTTTATTCATTGTTAACCCATTTTGACAGATAAAGATTAATATTCTATATATATACTCAACTATAATTGGGAGTTTTTATTGTTAAGTTGAAATAAACAGCAGTGGATTAGATGCCTTCGAAAACATTTTATAATACAGTTGAGCAATAATTTAAATATTATTGTTGATCGATATTTACAATTATCATTTACAGGCTGTTCATTGATACCCTGGAAAATTGAGCCCGTTGCTGAACTTAATCTACAGATTGTACTCTCTGGAGTAGTATTCATTCTGCTGCCTGTATTCTTTACATCGGCGGTATTTAAGGTGAGTAACTATATTAAATTGACAACAGCTGGGTTTTTAACTCAATTTGGGCTTGCAAAATTAACTGTGCGGTCCCATGTGTTTGGGAATTAAAGCAGCAGACGCTCGATGCACGATAATGCAATTTTCGTCTGCTTGCAGCAGTCTGTGCTTTGTTTATGTACCGACTATTTTAGTGGCGTTATTTTCGTTATTAAATTCATTTGCAAACAAACACAGCATACGCTTCAGTTCCTGGCCAGTTTCTGACTCGTGCTGCGCCACAAAATGGCTGACAATGTGGAGACTTCAACACATGCACATACACACATACACACACACACACACACACACACGGGTGCACACACACACGGGTGCACACGCAATTGTATTGGTTATCCTTTCTGTTCGTGTCCCTGCTTTTATCAGCATAATAAATGCAATTATTGCTTTTTCATATCCCATCTCATTCTGACGCACAGCTCACCGTTTCTTTCTAGCTCTGTTGACTGCATGGTCTTTTTATTTATTGTCTATTTAAAGTGCATGGCAGACAATGGCGCTGGCTAAAACTCGATAGAAAACACAATAACTTGCAAACGGCTTTTTTTTACCCTATAAATATGAAAGGGGTTGATTGGGGCATGAGTTCATTTTTGCAATTGTGTGAAACAATGAGCTGTACTAAACTAGTTGGGTTTCTGAGCAAATGCAATTGGATTTAAAAGAATTAAATGCTTTGAAACTGAATATATTTATAAACCATTTTATCCTCTTTGTATGATATAAGAAAAAATAAAGAAATAAAAGCAATGATATTATCACATTATATACATAAATGTGGCATACTTTTATAGTATTTTTAAACAAAAATTTCAATAATAATCCACATAAGATTGTATTTTCTGTAGGATAATATCAAAAAGGATACATATTCATATATCTAATAGTCGATGGTACTCAACTTGAGTACTCGGCAGTACTTGGTTGCGGATCTCATGCAACATGCACCATAAAAGCCACTTAAAGCGCACCGCCAATCTTTAACTAAGAGAGAGGAAGGGGCAAAGCTGGAAGCTGCAGATATGGTACATAGTTTATGGATGTCCCGCGGGGGAAGATGAGAGCAGATTGTCCTTTTCTGCCATTTTGAGCTAGTCTGTGTTTTGTTGCATAGACAGGACACAAACAGTGTCTGGACACATTTGCAGCCTGCGGGTTTTTCACAAATAATTGGTTGGTTTTTAAGGCAACTAAAATGCTGAAGCAGGCACACTACAAAACTGAAACAGAAATAGTATTATTGAGTAGCGAGTGCACGAATAACTCTTCTACCAAAATGCGTACTTCACTTTATGTAAATAAGTGCATGGAGCACAATGCCGCATGCAGCCGGGAGTCAACCGAAAGCTGACTATCAGACAGTGCACTGCGGCAGGCACAAATCAAAAACCAGCAACAGCATCAGCTGAATGATGGAGTAGCGAGGGGCAGGACTTCATCACATGGCGGCCTTTTAATAAAGCCTGCGGCCATAGCCAATTCATTGAGTTTGTAGACTCGATTCACAAAATACTTGACCAACATTGGTCATTGACGCGTGACTATCAGAGCATTGCCAGGACACTCGGTTGCCGCCACAGGCACTGGACCTCTTTTGTCCGAATATACTCAAGCTATATTCCCAATTATTGCGATTTATAGTTTTTATGGAAGTTTTAGTTTAGTCTATGCACACACTTCAATTAGACTCATGATGTCGAGAGTCAAAGCTGCAGACACAAATTGTCTGTGTTTTTTTTTAGAGTCAAAGGCACAAACTGTATAAATAAGCTGCAAGAGCTGAATAAAAAAGAGAGAACCGGACATACCCCTCTTCTTTTTTTCCTGTCATATATCACAACTATATTAGCAGAAAGTCGAAGTTCAACTGAATGTTTAATTTGTTTTGTCAGCATAGCTAACAAACTTTAATTTGAAATAGTTTTTTCTTCTCACTTTAACATTATGTCAAACAAAACATTCTTGTTAAGAAAGAATTTATAATTATGGTTCATTGTTTATATTTACGTAGATTCTACTTGAGTATATTATAAAAAGCATATATAAATAGAATTCAATTAAATCTAGACGGATGATAAATAAAAAAAAGTACAACGCTGTAGAAAACTTTTAAATTGAAATGCAAATGGTGGCAATTGTTGGATAGCCATCGCATTTGCGTGTACTTTGAATAGTCCAGTGAGGCGTTGGCCCACTTGATCCAGTCGACAAAGTGAGAAACATTGGTATAGACACCGGGGAAAAAAAAGCGACCGCAATCCACTCCCCACGAGATGATGCCCGCCAGGGTGTCTTGGCAAACGAGTGGTCCACCCGAATCCCCTTTGCAGGCATCGATACCGCCTTGCAGCCAGCCGGCGCAGAGCTGCGATTGGGGCATGTATATATAGATGAGATTGCACATAACGTCATGCACAATCGGCACCACTGCCTGTCGAAGCTCCCTGGCATTGTTGCCCCAGCCGCTGATGAAGCACTTGGTGTTTTCGGGATATGGTTTCTCAGTCAGTGGCAATGATCGAATTGTAAGATATTGATATGGTATTAGGCTATTGAGGAACATCAGCGCTATATCGTTCTCAAGCGTCAGCGGATGAAAAAGATCATGTCCGATTATCTCTTGTACCAAATACACCTGAGTTAAGGTCTCCACCTGATCGAGCATTCTGCTACCGGCCACAACAACATAGTGCTCCGGTCCCCTATATTGGACCGGGTGCGTATCATTTCTGTAGAGCAATTGGAGAGATTTGAGTTTATTTATTAATATGCTTTTAAAAATGAGTTACGGGCGAAGCGGGCTTACGTTCCTACCATCTGGAGCCCCACTTTCTACACAGTTGTTTGGAGCAACTATGCAGCCAAAAAAAGATAGACAAATTTGGACTGTGTACAAATTTCTACAGTGAGCCAGTTAGCCTTATTAACTATACTTACATGGCAAAGCAATGGGCCGCTGTGCAAATCACACGCTGCGATATTACCGTACCACCGCAGATATGACCTAAGCCAAACTTTTCTTCATGAAAGGCTCGGATGCGTATGGAGACCATATAGGGCGCATCAGTAATATTTACCAAATAGCCGCCAACTATTTTCGCATGCGTCTCATAGGTCTCTGCACAAATAGATAGTATCAATAATAATTATCTAAAAAAAATTGTATAATCACTAATTTACCAGCAGAAGAAACTGTCAGGCACAGGAAAACAATCCTTAATACTTCACAAGATAACATTCCTTACAACTCTCGAATGAAACTAACTTAAAACCAACATGACAATTCATTGAAGTTGGGTTTTTGCAAAACTAAAAAGTGAATTCTAATTTAATTATCTAGAACTTAAAATTTTGATTTATATATTTGTAATTTGACAACAAATCAAAATAAATACTAATACAAGAAAAAATACGTTTACTAATTGAGTTGCCCATATTATAGAATAATTCTCAGTATTTTGATTACTATTTGAGCAAACGACTTTTTTTTTGTATATTAAATTTCATTTTTATTTTTAATATATATTAAGATATTTAGTTCTTAAACCAAAAATGCAATGCTTTTAAGCTGCATTTGAAAAGGAGCCCATCAGCGACTTGGCTAACTGAAAATTCATTTTTTGGATTGCTAATAAAACTAAAAGCCACAGACATTAACCACCCCACATGAGCATGATAAACATGGGGATCGTTGAATTTGGCAGGGGCTAGAGGCAGTTGCCTCATGCAGCATGGTAACTACTTCATGATGTAAATGTTCCTTCTTCTACCCCTGCTTATGGGGCAAAGGAAGAGCGTTGCCAGTCCTTTTAACTGGCCACAGGAGTTGCGGCAGTCGGCACTTTAAAATATATTATCCCGTTGGCTAAATGGGTGTCCATTTGCCGTCTTGCTCACACACACTCATACACGCGTGGTACACTTTTGCAGCTGGTGATGGTGGTGTGTGCGTCGACACTTCAAAATGCGTTTCGCTTTTTGCAAATTGCAATCATTGTTGTTGCGCTACAGCAAATGTAACGTGTCGAAACGAACGCAAACGAAACCAAAAAGAACTAAGAGTATACGCAATAATAACAACAGTGCTCTTGTCAAGAGTTCTTGACTGTCAGATACTCTGTTCCTAGTCCGAGCATAGTTTGGTAGCTATTTGTCTGGATAAATACACAAAGAAACACACAAAATCAGAACCCGCCAAATTTATTCATAAATAACTTTTCGAACTTATTGTCTAGTCTTCATAATAGTTTTCAAGCAATTACATTAGATGCCAAAAAAAGTAATTTCCAATAAATTTGTTGTCAAAATAATTAAAAGGAGTACTTATTAAATTGTGTAAACTGGCTGTGCTATCAACGATAAATAATTATAGCTCATATTGTTTTTGAGATCGGCACTCGAATTTCTGTATATTGTTTATGGATTCGGAGTTGTCTCTCTCTCTGTCTGAATTCAAAGCATGACTCAGTTTTTGTCCATTTCTATTGGTCCCAGGTTACCAAAACGAAAAGCAGAGGCAATAACACAAAGCAAAGCAAAATGCATTGCAGCACAGCAAATGTTTGCGAGCTTCCTTCTATTTGGTTTGTCTCTCCAATCTCTATCTCTCTCTCTCTCTCTCTCTCCATATCTCGCTCTCTGCTTCTCTCGATGTGATTCCATAAAGACTGCTTGTTTTTAATTTAAAAGCACAAACGCGCACATATATTTATATGCTGCACGTGATTTTTATGTGTTGCCTGCTTCACGTATTTCTGTGTAGTACATACCCTTATGTGGATCTACACAATATATATATATATATATATATATATATAAATATTTCATTTTGCCATTTGTCACGTGCATTTTTTATGTTTGAACGCGTCGTATGCGCGATATTTTGCGCATAAAAAATGCAAAAACCAAAGCAGCCGCAGCCCGCAATGACTTTTGCTTTGTTTTATAAACGCTGCAGTTTATTTCATATTTCATTCTCATTGTTTTGCACAGTTTTATTCTATATACGTATTCTATTTGTATTTTATTAATTGCACATCACAATGCGACAGTTCTGTTTCTACAAATTGTCTCCCCCCAAGAGATATTGACTGTGGCTTTTAGTGCATCCTTGCAGAAGCATTGCAATTGAATGCGACAGTTTCGAATTTCCCTTTTTCTCTGTGAAAAGCTTTCATTTTGGTATATGGATTGCTTCCTCCGTGTATGCAAACGAATTATAGTGATTATAAAATAATAAATAAAATTCATTTAAATTAATTTTGAGCTGTGAAAAAAATGTATCTTTGCTTGTGCAATTTTATCAGAAATGCATATTCACTGCACTAGCTCTATCTAACTCGGTAAGGAATTTTAAATAATTGAAACTTGCTTTTCGTTTACTCTTTAAACATGGTCTGTTTTTCTCTTCTGTGTATTAAAAATATAACGATTAAATGATATACAAAAAAACTAAGGTGCATATATTTCAAAATGCAGCTCGAAGCGTATTGAGATGTTACTGCTTTCATTTAGCATTCTTCATTGGAACGCGCTTGTGTTTTGAGTTGTAATCTGTTTTGAAAAAAACAATTCCTTTTAATTTTTTCAATTTGCGTCCATTTGACTAAGAATTTATTTATAGTCCAAAAATGCGAGTCAGACTTGTAAACAACAATCAACTTGTTATTAAATATAGTAAATTATATATACACTTTTTTAATCGGGTTAAAGAAAAGCGTCAACCTGTTATAAAATAAATATTTAAAAATATTTGCTGAGTGCTCCTAGAGCTTTGTATTCTTTCCATTCTTTACAATGCAAAAAACATTTCTTTTATTTTTCCTTTTTTTTCAATAAAACATTCCTTACAAGTTCCCAAAAAAGTTAACTCGTTCTTCAACATAGGACAGCCACTGAAGAAAAACTTTTCAACTATTCAAATCTACAGCTGATGGCAACTAAAAGTTGAGCTCAAACTTTGTCAAAAGTCAGCTGGATCAGGTGCATGCCACAGATTTGCAAAATTGCATCATGTCATAGAAAATTTAACTGCTTCAACTTACGTATATTGTAATGAAACATTTCGTATCTATGATTGACAGGTTGGCAACTTGGCAAACGATGGCATCAAATTGGCAACTGGAGCCAGAGAACGACGCTGCACCCTGGCACCGCACGACGGCCTGGAGGAGGAGGCACGCGGCGGCACTTTGCGCGCCCTTTGGACACATGGAGGGCCCACCGCTGCTTTTGTGCATATCCTTATTGCGCTGTGTTTGCTGCTACCGCGACTTCTGCTGGAGGCGCGCATCATCGAGAATGGACTATTGCCGAAAGGTGAGTGCGTAATTAAGTGGAGTGCAGTGCGAATGATGTGAGTGCTGACAATGTAAATGTAGCTGTTGGCGACTGTCAACAGTTGCAGCTGCAGCGGCAGCGGTAGTCATGAAAAATTTGCGGCGGCGGAAAGTTGTCGCAACGCCATTTTTATATTTTCTTTTATGACGTGACATTTTTTGTGTTTATTGTTGTGCTTTTATTACCCAATTGCATTTCAATTTCGCACTTCCGCCGTGCCACAGAAGATATTTTGTTGCAGCTATCTGCCACTATCTGTTTTTATTGTTAAGCATACATACATGCAACAATGCCACTTGATAAATGCCGGATTAAAATTCCGCTGGCATCGCAAATTGGTGATAATTTCATTGCAACTGCAATGACCACAGTGCTGACCAATGTGCACTTTAATTAAATTATTTTGCCCCCTATAATTTCGTCACTGGCATAATTGGCCGTTAGACAATAATCAAATGGTTGACTTCAAAGCAATTTGGACAACATTTACAGAAACGTTAGCACATAAAACTATTTTGGCCGAGTTTCTAATATCTGCATGCTTAACAAAGTGAACTTATGGGAATAGCATTGAGACACAGTATGTATGTGTGTGTCTGTGTGTGCATATAAGCAAGTCAGGTCACTTCAAAGCAATGGCAATCGCTGGGGAAATCCGTTTACAAAACATATGCATGAGTCGCTGACTGCCGCTCACAGAGGCAAACGAAAACATAGCCAAACAAGCCAAATATGGCCATGCACACAGGCTAACTAACAACCACAGGAGTAAACATGGAGATACTGAGAAACAAACTAACACAAACACAAACACACAACCACACACAAACGTTGACAAGCAACACGGTGATAGTACCGCCCATTATGGGGAGCAATAGGCCATGTTATTAACAGTGCGCGGGCAGGATACAAACTAACCAACGAACCGGACCAAAACTGTGCAAATGTTGGCTCAATGAGCTGGCGCAGAAACAGAGGCAGGACAGTCAGGACAGTCAGGACTATGGCAGGCCTCTGTTTGTTCATCACTGCATGTGTTTGGGTGGATGTGCTTATATGTGTGTTTATTTGCCAGTGTCTAAGTGTACAGTTAAGCCGCCGAGTTGCGCTGGGACCATTTTTAGCACAGTAAACTAATGCCACAGTAAATAGCCAGAAAAAGAATTAAATGAAAAAAAAAAAAAATCAACAACAAAACCAGAAAAGCAAACACCAGAGCACAAAGTTAAGTAACGTAAAATGAAAAGCAAAAAAAAGTTTGTCCTCAAATACTCTGATAATTCTTTGGAATACTTAATGGCCAATTTCGCACATTGCCGCAATGTGCATGTGGCAATATAAGACATTAAAGTTGGGCATATAAAAAAGCAGCACAGAATATGAATAATAATACTGCTCCGTGTTAAACTTTTTAAATTAGCAAAATATTAAAAAATGTAAACGGCTCGATGGTGTACTATCGATACTTTTATACTTTTGGATATACTAATGGAGATTTTTGTAGTGCTATGGATCAACACTTTACAGAAAATATCGAAAGTATTCCTTCAACAACTAAAGATCTTTCTTATTTGAGTCATTTCCAATATTTCCAACTGTGCTCAAATATCTTCGGAAACTGAGCTGCAACAACTTGAAAAAAGTTAATTGTATTAATGGCCAGCGACAAGCAAATCAAAATTAACGATTTTTAAAGTGAGTCGGCATCGAAGTCTGTGTCAATTACAGTTCCAGTTTTTAGTGCACAGTGCACAGTGCCGAGTGCCGAGTGCCAGTCGCAGTTCCAATCACTGTCCATCAGAACTTTCAGTATGGCTGACTGACCGTATGGCGGGTTTATTGAACCGGGCAGGGAGAGAGAGAGAGAGACAAAGAGAGAGAGAAAGAACAAAAAATAAATAACAAGAGGGGCTGAATAAAACCGCCAGTGAAGCGGCATCCAGTTGCGGGGGTAAATTAAAAATGTGGCAGACGGTTGGTCGTCGCATTGGCTTCATAAAAGTGTTGACGGAGCTGAGTTGAGTTTAAACCCGAAGTGCCCCAGCCAGCATCAACTCAATTCAACGAGGCTCAGCTCAGCTCAGCTCACTTCTTGTGATATTTCAATTAATTTCGATTTCTTTTTGTTTATTTTTTTTTTTTGTTGCTTTGGTTTTTTTTTTTTTTTTTTTTTGCTTTTTTGTCTATTCTGTCGCTGCCAGATATGCTTAGGGTCCTTGTTCTCTTTTCAATTTTTTTTAAATCCTGGTCTGTGCCTTCGCCCGCTGAAATTAGAAAATCATTGGCACAAATAAAATGTGCAGCGGTGCAATGCCAAAGCCAGAGTCTTAGTTTTGCACTTGTGTCTGGCAATGTCATCAAATGGGTCTCCGTGGAGTCTGCAACCGGATATTGGTCAAGCTGAGTGCAATGCCTTGTCGCGACAACTGCTTTGGCCATTTGGCCGCTGGGCTGCATTCCGCTATCCTGCTAAGTTTGCTGACATTCTTAAAGATAGCGTAAGCTGCTCAAGATTGAAGTTGAACCTTGTCAGCTTTGGATCGGACATTGTAAGCTATTTCTTCTAACTTTTCTTCAAGTAATTAAAAAAAACCTTACATTCTGCTTGACATGAGGTATTACAAATGTGTATATAATACTATATATATACTCTTAAACTTTTGCATTAGCATTAAAATCGGTCCAAGGAAATGGCGAGGCAATTAGGCAGCTCAGCGCAAAATCATAAAAATAAAATACTTTTCCAAAAGTTGCCACAAGTCGCATAAAAAGCTGACGAAAAAGATATTAAATGATATGGTCGGGTGAGTTGGGCAGTGGGCAATTTATGACTGCGTAAGAATTGCAACCGTAATGCGTTACTTTATTTAATTAAAATATTATGACATTTTGATGGCATGAGTTTGGGAAAAGAAATCACTTATACGCAACGATACCCGCTGTGGTGCCCCAAGGGAAAACTACTTAAAGTCTACGAAAAACGGAAAAGTTGCTTGGTAGCGCAGATGAAATGCACTAATTATCAAGATAATTTTCAAATATATAAATTGAAATGATATATGATAACAGATATTTTCTTGTTGAAAGTTATCTATATAAATTATTGCACATACACTGCTGCACTCTAAATGTACTTAAATTTGATTTTATAACTTTTGTCAATTACATAAAATACCTTAAATATGAATAAACTATTTTTTTGTTGTTGGTTTTTGGAAACTCATTTTGTTTTAATAATATTCCAAAAGATTTAATTAAAATTACGCTCAGATGCTGACAGTCGCCTTTTGTGGGCGTTTTATTAAAAGATGTGCCCAAATCAGCGGTCAGCGGCAATTTGATGGCCCTAAATCAGTTAGGGCCGTGTTGCGCTCATAAATAATTAATGCAGACGTTACGTAAAATATAAAACAAATGAAAACTGTGATAGAATGCTGGGCATTAAATTTGAAGGCCCCTCTTGTGCGCCATATTGAGAGCATAAAAGTCTGCTAAACAGGCGAATACGCGAAATTATCAAAGCAAGCAGTTGAGAGTCAGTCAGTGGACAGCACTCAGCTGAACATGCAGCGAGGGTGGCTCGAGATGTTTGTGGCCAGGCCAAGGCAGAAACTTATCATTATTCATGCTAAAGACTTAACGAGCGCGAATTTCAACACAGGCACAGACAGGCATCCTGCGAGGCTTATCGGCAACGCAACTATTACCCACAGTGGGGGGCTTCAGGCAGTTGTGGGCGTTGGTTGGCATGGATTTTCGCAATTTCATTACTTTCCCTTCGTTTGTCGTTCGTTCAACGTTTTGCTCCTTCTTCTTGTTCATCTTCTTCTTGCTGGCGTTGGCATTGCCGTTGGTGTTATTGTCATTGCCATAATCGAGGCGGGGAGTGTCGGGACGAGTCGAAGTTAGGACTTTGCCGTTGGGTTAATCTGAAGATTTTCGGTGTTGTCGGCTTTACGAGCCACTTGCCGTTTGCCAACGACGACATATTATTATGGCAGCCATTGTTGTAATCCCATCCAATCCCACTCGCTCCCAATCATCCTCCCCAAACAAAACCAAAACGAAGTCTACACATCATTCTCTATTGCCTCACCCCCGCCGCTCCGCCCGTTCATTGTCTTTAATATTTGTTCAGCAATTTTCGGTCTTTTATTTCCGAGCTGCTTCTGTTTGCAGTTGCTGCGACCGCCCGTTGTGCTTTGCCGTCAGTTCTTTGTGCTCTTAAAGCAACTCGTCCAATAAATAATTTTATGAAAGTGTTAACTTGGCAAATTTTCGTGTTGCTATTCAAGTTATTAACTGGGCCAAAGTGAAAATTGACAGAGCCATCCGCAAATCCATTGAATAAACTAATTAGCTAAGTGTTGTAATTTTGTAGAAAATCAGCAGTTGTTGTCCTATGTAAACAGGATTATAATTTTGTCATGGAAGCTGTAATTTTGTTTTAATTTATTAATTTATTTTATTATAAATCCATAACTTTAAGTAAATAGCTTAAAAACTACTTAGGAACCATAAATAATTTTTTTAACAGATTATTAAAAGCGTTTTGCAAGGAAAAAATAAATCAATTTAATTTGAGCTGCTCTTTTATATATGTAAAAACATATATATACACAATAACACAATAAAATTTAAGTAGCCTTAGTTGGCAGTTATTTCTCATAACAATTTAAACGCTAAACAAAAAATTCAATCTTAATTTTAATGAAAAACATTTTGAATAACTTTTCCAATAATTGTTGACTTTTTTGAGAAGATGGGAAAGTTATAATTTGATCAGTCATAACAAAGCTTTCACAATTCTACAGAACCATTAATATCCACTTTTTTGCTATACACACGAGGCCATTTGTTATTGTAATTGTCTGAATTGAAATATTATTACAATAACTCAAATTGGTATGCAATCTTTCGCTTATTCCACTCACAATACGTTTCATTAATCTCGAATAATTTGCATTTGTATTCGCTCAGCTTATATATTAATACTCATTATCCGGCTCCCAGCTCGGTCCAACAAATTTCATAAGCTGCGCTAACGAGAAAAAAGATAACACGTACACACACACACAAACACACACAAACACACACACTCAAACACACTCACAAACACACACAAAAACACACACACAAACACACACAAAAACACACACACAAATACACACACACACACACACAAACACACACACACACACACACAGTTGTACCGTAATAAACATGAACATTGAAAGCAGCTAAAAGCAAAGGTTGGGCCAGCTAAGGTATCTGTCGAAAAACGTTAAATAGAACATAAACCCAGCCAACATATGCAGTAAATGTGTGCTTAATTAGTCCAATGGGGTTTTAGTATTATCCAGTGCGAAGCATTCGCATTCCCACCAATATTTCGTGTCCTGTTCAGCGGCAGCCAAAATGTAGGCAAATCTTTTTGTGGCAGCTAAAATGGCATCGTAAAGCCTTTGGAATTGACTAGGCGTAACAATTGTGCGCTAGGTGTATGAAATCGACTAGGCAAATACCCTGTAATAAGGTTTTGAGTACCCAAAAGTTTTCCCACAATCGCAATAGATGTAAATTTTAAGTTGCCACATGTATATTTATAATATTTTCTTTCTATAATTTTTTATGCTAGATTGATGACTATGTAAATGCAATTTTGCTGTACATAATTCAAATAATAATAATTATATATCTTCAACTGAGATTTCACAGATTTCACTTTCTTATCTTTTAATTTGTTGAAAGTATCTTTGATATTCGCCACAACTTATTAATATGAAAGCTTTTTACCCAGCAAGTGTCGCTTGGGAAAAAAGTTATTTGGTTGAACAATATGAATAACTGTCGCCTTGGGAATTTATTTAGAAACAGTGTTAATTGCGAGTATTTTATTACAAACATGAGCTATCAGAAATATTTACACATATTTTAAATTAAACTAAATATTTGAAAGGGAAATATTTTAATATTAAAAACAATTTTATCTAAAATCTGTTTTTTTTTACATTTTCAAATCGTTAAAATTACTTTGTACATTTAAAACCAATGATATGATTAATGATGATGATTATTGTAAAATATAACCCTTTAATGAACAATTTTAATCGTGTCCAGGGTATAAAAAGGAATCTATTCTATTAACGCCCCCATTTAATTAATGATATCTAAGAGCGAATTAATGCTGCTTCAGCTGCGTGCCAGCCTCCGAGAGGGTGTTGTGTGTGTATTTGTGTGTTCAAATGCTCATTACCTGTGTGTATATATTTGTTTAAAGCAATGTTATATGTGGTTAGATGATTGTGCCTGGTTGCGTGTGTGCCCTGAGCTGAGATGCTCTACAGCTAATCCCTCAACATGGACCTGTTATGGAGTGGCTCAAAGCAATTTGCTGTTGTTGCCAGGAAATCGGGCGGGGGAGAAACTACGAGTAGCTCACTTTTATTATTCGCATACCACTTACTCCAAATATCTCTCTCTCTCTCTCTCTCTCGCTCTCTCTCTCTCTATCTTTCTGTCTCTCTGACTGACACACTTGTATGACCTTTTCAATTGCAGAGCAAGTTTGGGCAACGGAATTGGACTTTGTTGTTATCAATAGACGCAATTTGATGGCCATGTCTGTGGTTGGGCCTTTGCCGCCCTACCAAAAGCAGCAACCAAGGGGTGAGCACCAGAGGGAGCGCCCATCGAATGTAACCGTAAACAGTTTGGAGCATATTGATGAGGAGGAGGACTACTACAACGATACGATGTTCAGAGCAATACGAGAAGGCATCAGCAGCAGCAACATCAATAATAATTTGTTTGAGCTGACACGTGATAAGGACGGCAGCCATGGAAGAAAGGCGGCGAAGTCGATGGCACCAACAACAACAACAGCAATAGCAACGAAAATAACAACAATGCAAGCAACTGCTACGGGCAAGACAAGATACTTTGAAGTGCCCGATTTAATTAATCGAGATATTGACGACGAGCATGAGCATGGGGAGGAGGAAGATGAGGATGAGGACGAGGACGAGGAACAGGAACAGGACGGGACGGAACGACAGAAGCTTGACGATGATTTAGATGATGTTGATAATGATGAAGTTGCTGTTGCTGGCAGAGATGAGGGCACTATTATAATGCCCGACTTTGAGAGCAGCAATGAGTTTGGATCAAAAGCGACAGCAGCAGCAACAAACAACGACAACAATTTCAGTGCTAATAATTGGCAAAAGCTTGGCACATTAGACAAGGCAGCAGCAGCGAGCACCACAACAACGACAACAACGACCACTACAGCTGCAACAAGCACCTCAACAACAACAGCAGCAGCAACAACAACTGTCAGCACAACCATAGCTCCAATTTCTAGCAAACAGTCGCCACAACAACAACACCATCACAGCAACAACAACAACAACAAGAACAATCGTAAGCACCACAAGCATCACCACAAGCAACGACAACAGCAACAACAACAACCGCCTCGTCGTCATCATGTTGCCTCCCATGAACAAGCGCTGCTGGAGAATTATGGCGTCGAGGAGGAGACCACAACCCGAGATAGCAGCATACATCGTGTACGCACCGAAATCCTTCCCGATATTATAATACCATCGACGCCGGTCTCAAGCAATTCCAAAATCATTGCCATCAAGCCGAAGACACAAAAGCGGCGCATTTTTAAGCGAGCTGCTCCAAAATCGGGTGTAGAAATCGAACCGGAGTATTTGCTAGGCGATGCGGCCATCAGTTCCAGTGAGTTTATAGCCAAGTCTAGTAGCGAGCAACAGCATTCCGAGGATCAGGATCTCGATATTGATCTGGAGGATACGGAATTTCAAGCCTTACCGGCTGTCACACCGGCAACACCTGCCCCCAGCAGCAGTTCAAGCAGCAGCAGCAGCAGCAACAGCAACGAGTTTGTGCGCCTCGATGGTTTTGCGGGCATGTTGCAGTTGTTCTTTGGCATCGATAAGCCCATCGATGTGGCCATCTTTGCCCAGCCGCCGAGCTCGGAGTTTGTGAATCTGATGTGTGCTCTGCTCGTTTGGTCTGTGCGTTATCCGGCTGTGTTCTGGAACACATCCAAGTCCTTTGCGTGCGTCTTTAGCCTGCAAATGATTGTCGCCGCCTTGGATATTATATTGGGCTATGTGGGCGTCTCCAATCTCTACAAGCTGCAAATCTATGCGGAGGCCATGCCCGTGCATCAGCCGGGACTCATTTTGAATGCGACTGTGACTTTGGCACTCTATTTGCTTGCCACGGCTCTGGTTTTGGCCTCCTCGATGGTTATGTATTTGTATGGGCATGGTCGATTGGCCACACGCATGAGAGATCGCTCTGTTATCACACTCAAGGCTAGTCAGACTTGGATCTACTTTGCCCATTGCGCATCCCTGTGCTTTGTCCTGGCTCTGGCTGTAGTCAAGGCGCCGCTGTTAAATGATCTCAGCGCCACATACAAGAACAATTTGCATTGTCCAACATTTTTAGCTGGTAAGTAAATAAAGAATTTTCGAATTGTGATTCAAATAAGGAATCTAAACTGCACTTCATTTTTAATAAGGCAACATTTAATTTACTTATGCCAAGGTTCATAGTGATATATTTATATTCTGATTAGAAACGAATATAGAAGACATATAATTGCAAGACAAGTATTCAAAGGCAATGCAACAACGGCTCCATAATCATCTTAATGAGTAGTAGTAAAATGAACAATCATATCTAAGCTTCAGCTATTTAAACTTCGATCACTTAAAATATACTTATTCAAAATTATCGTATCTTTAATTTGATATACATTTCATAAATTTCAAATATCATTTTCCAGTTTGCCCTGATTAAAATTCTAAATATGAGCTCTAAAATTCGTATTTTCTTAATGAAGAAAAGTTTTTGTTTCACTGACATTTATACAAAAACCATCTCAACCAGTCGACAATTTAATTCGGACCAGGCAAAAATCTAATTGCAACTCTAATTATTAAATGAACCAAAGGTTTATTTTACAACAAATGTCATAGAGAGCTGGTTTGTCTAATCAGATAAACCAATTTACATTGAACCACTAAGCAGACAATACACATTGGATTGTATTGTATTGTCTGATTGGTAATTGAACGCATTGGGTATGGCAATATTTGTTGTTGTCGCCACAAGCCGCCCAAAACCCAAAGCCACACGAACAATCAACCCTAAGTCGTGTTATAACACCTTTAACCCTAACTGCAATTCGCATATAAGCCAATTAGCGGTTGTTGGTTTTGGGGGTCGCTTTATGCGTTAGCCAACGCGTATTAAATGACTGAATCAGCGGCTTCACCAGACTTGAGCTGAACGACTCAATTAACTTATATTTTGGGGGCAACATTAACGAGTGACTTATTCATCTGTCTTTTTTGATTTATTGCTGCAGCACTTGTCGGCGTCACGCATCTGCTGCTGTGGATTGTCGTCTGGCTGTGTTTGACTATCAAGAGACGTTGGCATTTCAAGCTGCCACCGCTGGATCACACTTATGGCGGTCTGCTGAACAAGGCCAGCGCCCAGCCGCTGCTCATGTCCAGTGGCGGTCAGCGGACGGGCAGCAATTCGAGCAGTGGTGCAAACTCAACGAGCACCACTGTTAATGGCATGGACTCCACGAAGCCGGATATGATGAGTACCGCAACGAGCACGGAATTGGGTGGCATGGGTCTGGTTGCACAGGAGGATATCTATTGGCCAAAATTGACGCCCAGTTCGCCCAAGCTGAAGGTCACCTTCAACGAAGTTACGAGTACGTCAGATGATGTCCTACTAATTGGTGACCAAGAACAAACTGATGGCAAGCGGTAAAAAATCGTTTTTTAGTTACAAAAAACAAACAAAAAATTAAAAAAAAAAAAAAAAACAACAAAAAATTTAAATAGATAAATATAAAGCATCACCCCGTTGTCCGTTCTACTTACAATGCGCAACCTGCTTATAATCGCACACGTACTTACTTTAGATTCATTTAGTTTTTCACGCACCACCACCAGTAAAATTCATTACCACCAAGCACAAAAGAAAAAAATTAACATTCAAAACAATCATTTATAATAATTTTTTATCTAGATTTGTATTCAGTGTTGTGTTGTTTTCTTTCTCAGCACGTTTCATACCACCTTGTTTTCTTTTGGTATCCGGTGTGCTCATTTCCTAATTACTACCCAATACACACACACACGCACACACACACACACACACACACACATCGAAACATCCACACCCACGCAGACGAACAAAATACTTCGTTAACAAATTTCTACATCGTTTAACAACATAGCAGAATAATTTTTTTTTTTACTTTTCATGGTTTTGCGCATTTGACATAACAATTATTGTGTTTGGTTATGAGAAACATTCTGTTTCATTCTTCTTTATTTTTTTGGGGGTTTTATTTTTCATTAACAATAACGGAATTGCCCATTTGCAATCAAATAACAGTTTGTATGAAAAAAGAGTGTGTTTGAACAAAAGGAAGAAAGGAAACCATTTTTGTTCCGCTTGTCGCCTGTTTTATTGAACAAATTTTTACAAAAATTTATATTAACCAAATTGTATTGTTTGAAATTTGATTTTAATTTCATTATTGTTGTTTGTTTATTGTCAATTAACTAGACGTGAATTAGATGTTAATTACTAACTCTAGCTAATTGAATGTCACCAAATTGAAATTTTAATGTTTAACAATTTAAAACCCATTTTGTGTTGTTGCTGTTGTTGGTCAATTGTACGATTTGCCGCAATATAAATACTGTTCAACTAACAAACTAATCAACGGAGCAACACAAGGTGGTCAACTCATGTGGGTATAATCAGAAAAAATATGCCACAGATCTTATAAATCGCCATACTTCAACTTTATATTTTTTAGAAGTGATTCTCTTAACTGCAAGTTTCAAATTTACAAAGTTCATTTTTCTAAATAGTCTAAAATTTCCATAAAAGCTTAGCACATAAAATAGCAAGTTATATGAATATTACTATCTATATATCTTCTTTTTTTTCCTATATATTGATCAATATAAAAGGCCAACTTTTGAGTGCTCGATTGATGGCAATAATTTCTAATTGCATTTCAAATCAAAAGTGTTTCACTCCAAACCTTAACTAAGATTCGAAATAAAGTTTGTTCAAGTTTGAAATAAGATTTTACCTATCGACATTGGACAAGTAAATATTTAACTTAAGAAGTAAAGTTGTTTCAGGAAAGAAGAAGTAAATAAAATATTAAAATGTTTAAAAGTTTAATAGTGTAATCTATAAGAAAAATGAATTTCCGCTTACAGGCGATTTAATAATTTCTTGGGGATATTTTGATCTGAGTATAGCCACCCAAACGTTGCTTCTTAAAACCGACTAATCTCTACTCGCGCCTTTCAGCCATACGAGCCGTGGAACCTCGCTATGTTTTGCCAGTTCTGCGGGGGAAATTGACGACGGCGAGTACGCGACATTAAGGGCGGCAACCGCCGGCGCCGTTGTGGGCATCACCATGGGCAGCATAAAGAGCAGCATTACTATTAACGCTGGCGGTGGAGGCGTCGGCAACAGCAGCATTATAAGCGGCGGCCTGTTACATCTCAGCGAATACGATGAGTTGCCACCACCGCCATCAGTTAATCACCAGCAACAGCAACAGCAACAACAGCAACACCAACACCAACCACTTGCCCTTGGCCATGCCCATGATTATGCGAACCTTAGCGGGCTGGGCGGTATCAGTGACGACAACATTTCCGAGGAGGGCAAATTGTTGGCATGTGTGCGCGACGATAGCATTACGTATGCATCCACAAGAGATTTGGAGCCACCAAAGCCGGCAACACCGCCGCCACCGCCACCACCGTTACCCGTTAAAGGTGCGTCCGTGCCACAACAGCCTGGCTATGGACGAGCGCCCCAAGCCATGCCGGAGATAATGCAAATTTCACCCGAACATCACAAGTCACAGCCACTACAACAGCAACAGCAGCAGCAGCAACAACAACAGCAGCAGCAGGCTCCTCATCATCCACTACAGCAGCATTCACAATCGCATCCGCATCCGCACCCGCTTCAGCATCATCTAGTCAGCCCACTGGCTCCGGTCACGGTCGCCGTGCACACCAACGAAGCACATGTAAGTATGCAATAAGGAGTAGGGCAAAGGGGGAGCGCCAATTGGCAATTTAAGTTGAAACCCACGCTGTGTAAATATGTGTAGAGTGCACCGGAGTTCATTTCCTGGCAGTGTATGCAGATGTGTGCAGATTTTGGGATATTTGATCTGTGAGTTGTGTGAATGCTGAAGTAGATGTGATTTGGTCCCTTCCAATTACAATTTACTGTGAAATTTCCTTGTAAAAAAGAAATGATTTTACTTAACAGATTGTCTTCGCTTAGGACATAAGTTTATAAGCGGATTATTAAGTATTTATAAGAAATGTTAACAATATTCATGAATGCAAAATATTAAGTGCTCTAGAAAACTAATAATTAATTCATTATTTTAAAGAAGAGGATGTCAGTTATTTCGTATATTGATTTTATTTTCGATCAAATCAAAGTATTAGCTTGAGATAATTATTTTGTATACTTGTAATAAAGGCAATCAAAGTGCATAAAGATAATATATTTTTTATATTTAATTTGAATTTTTTCTTTTATTATCTTTTAGAAATAATCAATCGCTCCTACTAAAGAAACTTTATTATTTTATTTCCATTGTAAAAGATTAGTAAATCTTTGACTTGTGTTAAAAATAATTTGTAAAAGAGAATATTTTTTGTTTTTGTTTTACTACAATTTAAGCATAGTGTCTCTCTTAAAAGAGAGTATAAAATATTGGAATTTTGTGCACAGTCAGTATTAACATTTTGGTTAGATTGATGTGAATGTGTCTGTATGTATGTCCATGTCCATGTGGGTTCGGAATCATGTCACGCCTGCGGGTGCAGTGCGGCTAGCCATGAGATTTATGTCTGCTGTTATGAGACAGCATAAATCAGTGCCAGGGTCAGTGCCAGGGAAAGGGATCACAAACAGGGACGCACATGTCTGATGGATGGTCAGCCTGTGTGTCTGGCTGGCTGGCTGTCTGGCTGGCTGGTTGGATGTTCCAGCTGTCTGATTCTATCCAGATTGCAACATCAAGCGACAGGATAACAGGAAACTCGCCTGATTTAATTTCATTTTCACTTGCAGGCGACGAACTGAAGCAGAACTTAAGCGATTCTTTTTAATCCCCATCAATCTATGCCCCCTTTTTATCACTATATCCCCTACCATCACCATCACTGCCAAAACCTCCTTCACACACTTTCTGTCTCGCTCACGCTTTCTGTTATCCTTGCCGCCAGATCGCCTCCAGCTCCACACCCCGCTGCCTGCGTCGCGCCGATTCGGGCGTACCAAATGAGGCACTAACGCCACGCAGCGATACCAATTCAATAACGGAGAGCAGCAATACCACATCACCGCCGGAGCGCGCCCCCTCCGAATCGTCCAGTGGTGTACACTCGGGCGAAGAGCGTGAACTGGAGGTCATAATACGTCCGCGTGTTAGCTGCAAGGCACCGCCACGTCCACCACAGCCCCCGATACAGGAGGAGCCTTATGGCCGTTGCACCAACATGCGCATGTCCAGTTTCAATGCGGATCCGGCTGCCATCAATAGCGCCACATTGCCGCTTCAGCGAAGCGCACCCGACCAGAAGTTCGATTATACAGCACATTGCAGCACCATGCCGCTGCCGGTGGGCTGTCACAGCCAGCAGCTCGCCAGCCATTGCAACAGCAACAGCAGCAACAACAACAATGGTGGCTATGCATCGACATCGGCCATGTCTAGTTCGATGGGACCACCGCCGCCGTCGCAGGTGTCCAGCTTTAGGGCGCCCAGCATGCATTATGCAAATGCTGCAGTTGCCCTTGGTTCGGGTCCCCATGCTCCGCACACAACTCTGCCCAATGGCGTACGCTACTCCAATCCGCACTTTTTGCGCCGTCTGCCTCATGTGAGCAAGGCTGCCGAATCGCCCTACGGACATCTTGGCTATGGTGCCGCATATCACGCCTTCAGCAAGCTGCCGCATGAGACGCATCCGACCATACCCGAGGATCGGGATTCAGCCAACTATTCCATGGCCTCCGACCAGGACTGTGGACTGTACGTAACGGCGCAGCTGCACTAAGCTCTACTAGCGCTTTAGTCTCATATACATAATATTGCATAATAGCTTGCTTAATTAAGTATCCATGTACTTTATCCCTAAGTGTATAGATGAAGCCTCAAATCTTAAATCTTCCACACTCACTTCGCAAGTTCACATGGCAACGTCAGCGATTACTTCAAATCTGCCAAATTTTCAATTCTCCACAACTTGGAATCTATTTAATTATCCATCGCTTTTATGTACTTTTAAATTGTGATTTTTTTGTTAAAATATTCTATGAAATTGGTCCAAAAAAAATCATATATTTTTGGCTATAGAATACAGGAATTGAAGTGGTTAGTAAAAAAAAGTAAAATTTCTGAATTTTCGATGTTTTTTTTTATCATTTGGTTCCATTGCTGGATGAGTTCTACTTGCAATCTGATCTGGCATTGTTTGTGTAATCTCTGATGATGTCTAATTATGTATCAACAGAAGTAAATCTCTAAGTTCTCCCATTTTTTGATATGATTTGCTTAAAATAATGAACAAAAACCGTGTTTGCACAAAACCAACGCAGAATAAGTAACTGAAGCCTCTCACATAAGGTTACAAGCGATATCTATGCATGCATACTATTTATATATACAAGTCTATATTTATACACAATACTCGGTATGCTCGTCTACAATGTGTAAGATAATAAACGATAATAGTTCTTATCATATCACTTATGGTAAAATATATAATGTCTAAATCTAAGCAAATGGCATCAATATATCGTATATATATATATACTAGTACTATTATCAAGTAATCAAGAAGACACATTTACAATTTTTTCCCAACTCCGCAAAATTTCTCTCTAATCAAATAAAATGCATACGAATTTAAGCTGCAATCGCATGGTTTTATAATTAAGAAGATGAAACTGAAGAGTTTGTAAAGTGAATTTCAGTTCGATGGCAACTAAGCAACTACTTAGCCCGCAAATAAGCAAAAAAAAAAAAAAAGAAAAAGAAAATGAAAAAAATGTATTCTATATAGAAAGCATTAGCCACGCTTCAGCTAGTCGTCATAGAGTTAATTAATTAAAAGCTTCAGCATATTTTTATGGTCTCTCGACAAAATACTTATCGTTTAAGATAAATGTAAAATGTAATGTAACAAAGCGACAATATATGAAGATATCTAATGTATGATAAAACTAACTAACTGTATGAAATTAGCTAATATACTTACCATCTGATCGCGCATACATGCATTCATACACAAAACATAACTCACGGACTACAAAGCACTTCCCATACATATCTCCACAAAAAACAAAAGAAACAAAAAAATATCAAATTCCAATGAAGACTTTCAACTTAAAGCTACTATTCTAGGCGATCTCTATATGGCTTATAGAATAAAATGAAAAAAACGCACACAATTTAAAGTAAATGTGAAAGATAAATGTTAAAAATTAAATGGTAAATGGTAAAAAGCTAAAACTTAAATATAATTCCTATATAGCACTCGCACAGTCGACACTTTTATTGAGAATATTTGACCGTAATTATTTTTGTTATGAAGACTGACTAGCATTATAATACCTACAATGAGAAGCCCTTTAAGCATAATCAACCCATTCACATTTGTAAACCGTTTCCGCATACAAAATCCTGTCATTTCATCAAATTCTATGCATTATATGTTTCTAGACTCTATTCGTATGTGTGTATGATGAAGATAGGCCATTTATAGTAGTATGTACTTGTTTATGTACTTATATTTTGCCATATGGTCACAGTCTTTAACATTGGTTCCTTTAAGAAACGCACTAAAGCTAAGCACTAGCCAGATTTAAGTAACACTTTTGTAAAATAATTTCTATTTCAATTTAAGATTAATGATATATATCTAACAAAAATACCAAGTATGCCCCTCTGATATGACATTCTGTACGTAATCACAGTCATATTTTTTTTGTAAGTCTAACTAACCAAGCGAGAGAAAATTGTAAATGATAATAAGAATAATGCCGCCAATGACCCCGATATGACATGATGATACACGCATATACATACATATATAGACATATACATAAATATATTTATTACAACACATAAATAAACAAATGAATACTTAAATGTTTGAATTATTTATACATACCATATATGATTAAAGGTTTATCAATGGTAAATAAAGAAATACCACCGCTTTATGTGAAACCCCAAAAATCAAGTGCTTTTTCTTTCATCTCGGTGAGGTATAAGTATCTACAGGATAAAAGTTTCATTGATATACGAAAGTATCTGAACAGAAAGTATCTGTAAAAATGTTCAAAATCATCTGATAGATCGCTTATTGCCTCCAAAACACGATAATATCTGTGAGCTACACAAAGTTGTACAAAAATTAGATTCCAGACTAAGGCCAAAGTAAATTTTTAAATCTTATAATACAAATGCTGGCAGCTGAAAATCTATTTAATAATCAGAGTAGATAAACGAGTTTTTATTTTGTTTTATTAGAAAACAATTTTAATGAATATTTTCTTTTGTTTTGTTATTTAAATGTTGGTTTTCATTAAATTTGTAGTTTACACAATTTCAAGGTCTGCGTTTTTAAATATTTAATGACTTTTTCTCTGCAAATTGTCTTTTTTTTTCATTTTAATATAATATAATTACATACTTCTCTTTTTGGATTTCTTGTGTTTTTTTTTTTACATATTCATTTTCACAGTTTATTGTCGTTTCTCGACCTTCGATTTTTGTCGAGATATTAAAATACAATATATTCGAAGCGTATTTCACGCAGCCATTTGCTTTATTTTTTTTTTGTGTCAACATTTTGCAATAAATGATATATATCTTTTGTTGTTGCTGTTGTGTATTTAATTTGTATTATCAGTTTGAACTTAGTAAATAGCGTTCTTGGTTTCGTTTTACTTCTTTAAATATCTTGTCATAATATATCTTGTGTATTATTAACAATTCTATATGTGTGTGTGTGTGTGTATTTAGGTGTGTGAGTGTGTGTTTTTTTTGCCATTTGGATTTTTAATAATAATGAAGTACGATTTTGAAAAGTGTACTACGTGGAAAAAAATGCTCTTTCCAATTATTGGCAAACATAAAATAAATAGTATCTCAGATATCATTACCATATTTGCTAGATAAAAAAAAAAACTGAATTTTATCTGTTTTAATCGATTTATTTTTAAATCAATCATAAGATTTATCGGACCATCAAAAACATGATTTCAATTTATTTTTACCGCAATGTACCTAGTTTAATATACATAGATATATTTAATTATTTTTTCAGTATTTTGTACTTTTTGGTCTATATCACGTATGGTAAGAGCATTTAATGTTCGGCTCTTGCCGACATTTATTATTATTGTATTGTTGTTATTGTTGCTGTTTTTGGCTGATTAGCAAAAGCATTTAAATGTTGTTAGGAGAGTAGTTGAAATAAAAAATAAAAATAGAGTTTATTCTAGAAAAATGTTTGGAATGATAATGTTGAAGAGCAGAGTGTAAAAGTCTGGTTATTATATAGTAGTATGTATGTACTTGTGTGTATGTATGTATGTAGTAAGTATTTGTATCTACATATCGCTATGCCGGTATGCTGTATCGTATAATTAGTTGCTGGAAACCTCGCTGATAGTATTGAAGTTCTTAAAGCGCGTTTTCTTTTTTGGTTCTATATTGATGTTTGTTTGCTTGTTGTTTGCAGCAACATTTTGAATGCATTTCTCTGTTTCATTTCTTTTTTCTTTATCTGGCAAATGTTACATATTTTTTTTTAGTGTAGCGGTAGTGTAGTGCTATAGGAAGCTTGGATGGATATGCAACGTTTTGAATGCAACGGTATCCGTATCCGTATGTGTATCTGAATCTGAATCTGAAGCTGAATCTGTATTTAAAAAGCTGATGAATGGACGGACAGGTTGAAATTAATATTGTTAGAGAAATGAGTTTAGAAGAAAAATAATGTTTCGTCATGTATTTATGATCTGTTTAGGAACAATACAATAGCTATATGGCGTATACATATCTATATAAATATTTTAATAATACATATTATGTATATAAAAAATCTACAACTACCATCTAGATCTCTTGCAGGCATGTGATATGTTTTAAAGATCTATTATGTTGATCTCTTCAACCCTAATGCATTGCAAAATGTTGCCGAAAAGAAACGCGACCAAATGCCAAAAGCCAAATTTAAATATAGTATTTATATGCATGTATATTTTGTGGTACAACTTTTGCAAATGATACTCTCTATAAGCTAAACATGTTGCATGTGACTTTTTTTTTTGTGTTCTTTAGCAAGCAGGTAACATTTTTACAGCTCACACTATTAACTTGAAGGTACTTGATGCGTGTTGTTGTTGTTTTTTTTTTGTTATGTTTTTTTTTCGTTCTCATTTTCTATCTTTCATTCTTTTCGAGCTAGCTTATTTAGGCAAGTTTAATGAGACAAAAGATATACTATGTACGAGAATGTGTGTGTGTGTGTATGTGTGTGTGTGTGTTTAAGTACATATATACATAGAAGCGAGGCCATGTTATGCATCTAATGGCTGATACGAATGCGCAATCTGTTTATTCCACTCTGCGCTAGCTGCAAAAACTTGTGCACTTTGGGGTTACCGCAAAGTTCTTGCAGTTGTGCAGATAACTAGAGAAAAGAAAAACTTTGAAGCAAATTTTTTTCAAATTAATTTCACTATGGGTCTTATACACATTTGCAAGTTTGTGTCTTTTGTGTGTGTGTGTTTTGTTTCTATGTACAGCTTAAGAGCAAAATATGTTGTATTAAATGTAAAGCATGTTTTTGGTTTTCTCTGTGTATGTGTACTAAATTAAATTTGCTCAATCGTCACGCTTGATAAATATTTGGTTTGGATTAATACATATCTCATATATCATATATCTCATTTTAGTTACTTTATGATTAACTTTAAGTTTAAGTTTAAGTTTATCGTAAGTTAGGCTTATTTACGTGTTAGTGGTTCTTTGCTTGCTTAAACTTTAAATATGTATATGTATATGTATGTGTATACATATATTGTTTATATATACTCGTAAACGTTTTGCATCTCTTGAAAATCTATTAATAAATAACTTTAATTTATTGATTTAGATTTATCTATTAAACAACTTGCTCTTCTGCACTTAATCTTCACATTTGATTTATTAATATTTATTTTTTTTATTTCATCCTCATCTTTGTCATTTTTTTTCTATCTCACTGACTTAGCGTTAGGTGTATGACCGACGTTAGCACTTTTGTTTTTTGGTATTCTGTGTATGTTTGTGAGTTTTTGTTTTATTTATTATTAATAGTTATCAATAATAATGTAATAATAATCATAATAATCGTATTACGAAAATAATAGTGATTTTAGGTGTGTAATAAAAATTCATTGAAATATGCATTAATTTACAAGATTCATTTCTCTTTTTGTTTGTTTTCTTTCTTTTTTTTTTTTGTTTTGTTTCTGTCAAATCGTATTTTCAATTATATTTATTAATTTATTTAGATATATAAATATATATATATTTATATATATGTATGTATCTTGTAGCTTGTATCTTGAATTTCATAGTTCAGTTTAATCATTTACTGCTCTGCTTGTGTTCTCGGTTTGTTTTTAAATGCATTTGTTTTCATGACTTACAAAATTAACTAAACAGATCCTTATACGTTTATGGAAATCTCCCCGGTCACAGAATACAAAAAAAATTAAATATACATATATAATTGGACAAAGATTAGGCCAGCAACATGCTGAATGGGAATCGGGCGGTTCCAGTAGCTCCAGAGGATCCCTCGTTGCACATATGTAGCTGAGCAGTTCCTGCAGGCTGACCTTGGTCCTTTGCTATTTGGCTGCCTGGCTGGCAGCTCTTTGCAAGGGTTACTGTAAAATGTCCACAGAATTAGTTTTACACGAATTGTGAAGTGATTTTTCTTTGTTAAATGTAGTAGTGTTAATTGTTTAACGGGCAAATTAGCTGTTTGTTGCTTGTGAGCTGTTTGTATTCTTGCTGGCTTATTGGAGGATATTAAAATGGCAAAATGGCTTAACGAGCGCATTATACAGAAAGCTGCAAAAAGAAATTGCTTTTTTTTTTCGTCTTATGCAATATAATTAAGAATAAAGTTGTATTCGATAGATAATTAGTTTCATGTAGATTGTATTGTGCACTTACAATTCAGTTCGTTTGCAAGTTTGGAAATTTGTTTGTGCTTGGTGCTTTAAAGTGTTTTCACTGTTGCTGGAAAGTGTTATTCACCCTGCTCCTCCATTATTGATTCACCGGCCCAAACAATCGGACGACCCTGATGTGGGTACACATTTCAAAAGTAGCATTTTAAATTTATAAAACTATTTATTGATTCAATTACGCTAACCCTAATGCGATTATAGTATTATGTAGTATCTATATAGACAGCTAGCCGAGATTTGCCATTTTTTATTTTAAGTATGCTTTCATGTTGTATGCTGTGTTGGGGTTTTTTTTTTTGATTAGGTTTGATAAAGCAAGATTCAAATTTATTTGGAGCTTGTTAGAATTACAAAAGTCAAACAAGACGCATATGACAAATGATAAATATATGATCAAGACTACACATGCAGGAGAGAATTGATTTATTATTATTATTTTTAGTTAAATTTGTTTGTGTTTTTTGGTTCAGTTTGGGGATAGAGAAACATACCTATATGATTATTGTACGAGTCTATAAAAAACTACGTTGAAGTTGTATGCTATGCCAAAAAACGCTGAGCTTTAGGTGACTTTGCGATAGGTTTTTTTTTTACTTTGATTTTTTACGTATTGTTAATTTTTTGCTCTGTGTATGTATTTGAAATTTTATTTGATTAACGATATATAATGCAAAATTTGGTTGTTGCTGCCTCAAATTAAACAATGTATGGGTGTAACTCTGTATACGGTTCATTTACAGGTGTGTGTGTGTGTGTGTGCTTTTAATTATTTTTTAATATCTAACTAAAAACAAATGCAGACAATGTATGCAATCAATTTGATGCTTGCTTTTAATTATTTGCTGAGTTTACTTCTTTTTACTTGTGTTTGTACAGATTTTGTGTGATTTACTATGCTACAAATTTAAGGTATTTTTCATCGATTTTTTTTTTTTTTTGGTAATTTTCTTGGCATTTTTTACTGAATGCTAAACAAAATATAGCTACATAAGTGTATGTTTATATGTATATGCTTGTATATAATATGCAAGTGTTTTATATATATTTTTTTTTGTTTGTGTTTTGAGTATAAATTTCAATCTGCAAGTCGATCTCGATTTGAGTTTTGTACGTTCTTATTGAGTTGAGAGTTTGATTTGAGTTGAGTTTTAGTTTTAGTTTTAGTTCAGAGTTTGAGTGAGTCGAGTGAGGCAATTGATGAGCGCCTAGAGCCTAAACCTATATTAGTGGGACAACTGACCAGTGAGGTGGTGCCAAAAAGTTTGTACCAGCCGATAACGATATTCGATAGATTCAGATCGTCGAGCATTATCTGTGCCACGCCCATAAACACTTTCTTTTCAATGCGGCCATAATCGCCCCAAACAGTCATCTGTAAAAATGTTAAAGAAATCATTGATCAAAATATAAAAATGATGTACACAATTATTGGTTTATCAAATAATGATCTCACCTGCAATACACAACCATTGTAAGGCTGTTTAAATACCAACTGCTGCTGATAGAGAGGATCCAGTGTTCGACGTGCTATCGATGTTTTCATCTTGTCAATGCAATTTTTGCCCGACACCAGATAGACTTTCACATATGGAGCGGGCAACATTTTAGCACCGGCCTTTTGCTGCAGATTGAAATACAAATCAGAGTTCAATTTTCGAACTAGGTTTTCACTTTTGACTAACCGTTAAGCCCCTGGCACGTATGACCTCCACCTCAAGAAAGCCTTTTTGATGGCACAGCGATAGCTGTATATCACCCAGCGAGGGTGCGCCAAGCACCTGACGACCTACCAATTGACCGGGTCCCAGGCCATCGACAAATTCATTGAGGGCTCCATCATTACGTAGTGAAGGCGAAAATCTACAGTCATGATTTGGATTTTTTTTTTTTTTTTTTTGTGTTTCGATAGATATGTAGGACTTTAGTATTGATTCGATTTTTATAAATATTATCACATATTAATCATTAGAAATGTTTTTGAAAAAAAATCGTTTGCTTTTAAGCAAGAGAGAATTATTATAGCCTGGTTCCACAAAAAATGTAGTAAAGAGATGTTTCACAGTATTCAATAGCATTTTAATAAAATTCATAAGCAGTTACATCGTTTTTCTCACTTTATTAAGAGTTCTTACTGGGAATCATCTCTGACTAGTGTAACTAGGCTATTTTATACACAGGGAGTTGTAGAAAGACAGTTAAATTGTTGTAAGTAGTTTTTGTGTAAGTTGGTTTACGATTGGTTTGTGGATGGGTATGGCTTGTGTGTGGTTGTGGCGGTGGCTTATGTACTGACAGAGTGGTGCACAGGAGAAATCGTAAGCATGCAGGTTATTTTTTTATTTTTTTATTTCGATTTCTTCTGGTAAATTTAATTTAATGCCAATTGAAATTTGTTCAGATACCAAGGTGAATTGTTTGTTTTAGTAGGTTTTCTAAAGTATATATGTATTAAAACATATACTAAAGATCCTTCAGTCATTTTAGGGAAAGTAAATGGTACATCAATAGTGCCAGAGAAGTGAAGACTAGGTGCCCAGGACTTTAGTACTTTTTTTTTATTATGAATTTAGTTTATGGTCTGTATTTTTTTTTTTTATGCACACACACAAATAGTTAGAAACACTTTTTTATACAAGTATTTACATATTTATTGAAATTATAATTCGAATTAAAAGAATGATTCAAATAACAACAGAAAAAATATGAATTACAATTTGTACAATTTTCATAAGACAGAAATATACACATAGAAGTAAAGAAGCGGAAAAGTGAAGAGAACGTTAATTACGTAGAGATATATATGGATATACAAAAATGCAGACTGGCTCAACGGTTTCAAGGCGCACATACGTAGATAACAAGAAAGATGCCGGCAAATTTGGACACAAATAGATAAGTAACATGTTCAGAGAAAGTTATGTTAAAGGTAATCAGGAGCACGATACGAAATTCAGTATAAACACAGAGTGAGATAAAGAGATAGAAACAGAGAGAGAGAGAGAGTGAGAGAGAGGAAGAGAGAGAGAGAGAGAGAGAGAGAGAGATACATATAGCCATATACAAAGGCAATGGAAATGGAATTTTGAGATTGAAATAGTGTGTGTAGTATATGTGTTGCTGAGGCAGACAGAGAGAAATAGTCGTAGGCAAAGAGAGCACAGTTCAAAGTGAATTCGAATATCATAGAGTATTATTATTATTTGTATTTTTTTTTTTTGATTTTGTTTTTTTTTTTTTGTTTTGGTTTTTGCCAGAGAAACTTACGATGAACCCTCGGAGCTACAGATTGAATGTATGCTGCCCGCACTGTAACGGGTGACCGCTGGCACCGGCGGCACCTCCACCGACCGCTGGATGCTGCCCGCCGAGCCGCGCGACTGCCTTTGATAATATGGATGTGGTGGTGGTAGTGTGATATGATGGTGACTAGTGGAGGAGGCACTCGCGCTCGAGCTGCCCAAATACTGTGCCTGATATTGGTCTGTCGAGAATATGATATACATATATAATACAGTACGAGTAATATATAGTACAATATGGTGTGTATTTTCAATAAATCAAAAGTACAAACAGCAGCAGCAATGTGTTTTTCTTTATGATATTTCTTTGGTTTCAATTTCTTATTAGCAAGGACTTGTGTGCGACGCTGGCTTCTGAGACACTCGATAAGCGATACACGATGATCGACGCTGGGCTCTGGGAATATGTTTTCAAATATACATCCTATCCTGACTATACAGAAAATGATATAGCACAGAGAGTGAAATGAGCCATAAACCCAAAATGAAAATTATAGCAAATTTTTAAAACCAAAAAAAATATATATATATGTATATATATAATTAAAAAAAAATGTAATAAATAAAGTAGTAGCTCATAGATATATATATATTTATATATTTTAATAGAATTGGTTGTAATGCGGAATTAAGTGAAATTAAAATGTTTTTAAATACTCAAATTCGTTACATTTATTCCATTAAAGTACTTTTCAAAAAAGTATATTTATTTATTTATTTATTTTTCTTTATTTAAAACCGATAAAAAAAAGCTGTTTTGCAAGCGATAATTTTTATCATTTTTACTTTCCCCCGATTTGCAATTTGTGTGTAATTATAGAATATTTTCAGACTGCATTAATGCAAAGAATTTCATTGATGTTTCTTTTTCGATGCCAATTTTCATTGATGATATGTTGTGAACTTCTTGTGTAGTGTGAGTAGTTTCTTGTTTGTTGTTCAGTGTGTGTTCATTATTATTATTATAATTTTTTTTTGGCTTTCTTTGACAGAGCTCCCTGTATATATACATACATATATAATTATCAAATTGTTTCGCAAAAAACAGAAAATTTGTTGAAAACAGATGATAAACATTAGTTCATTTTTTTTTATCATTAGTGCAGAGTTCGGATTTATATATCGTTGTCATGCATATTTCGATATAAATAATATATCGATACTTTTTTCGTTTGACAAATGATGCAAAATTTTGAAATGTGTGTTTCAAAAAACCTTCGAATGAATAACCTTGGCTCGTTTATATCAAAGAATTAGTTGGAAATGTCTTACCGCATAACTGCAAATAATTGTTTTTGTTTTTTATAATGTATATGTTTTTTTTGTTGTAAATTGCTTAGCTAGTTTATAAGGCTGTAATAGATTGGTAGCTACGTAGAGTAGGATGTCTGGCACATGTATATTGTAAGTAGTTGTTTTTATAAGTAGGTAACTCAATGCATGCAGTTCGAACAAAGTTCTAGAATAAAATGTTGTGTATGCTTGTATTTATTTATTTTTTTTTTACTTTTAACTTGAATAAAAATCAATATGTATGTATATGGATAAGTTATCAATAAATGACATTAACAATATATTTGACGAACAGAAAACAAACGATTGGCATTAAGGTTAGTATCTATTTGTTAATAAAATGTTTGCTACGAAAGTAAAATGCATTACGGATTGAGTTAGGAGCTTTTGCCAGTTGTTGCTCCTGCACAAGAAACAGTGAGCGTCAACAGTGTTCGGTCGGTCGCACAGTCGAAAGCTTTGCGTTGGTCGGCATTTGCTGCATTTGGCAAAGCTTCAGCAATGGCAACTGCACGTCCAGGCAAAGCTTTCGGTATGTGCGACGCCCATTTTTATTTATGGAGAATTTCCTTGGTATAAGCCTAAAAATACGTATCGACTTTGGATTTGTTTGTTGATATTTGGTTGGGTGGTTGTTTTTTGGTTAGTTGGTTGCTTGGTTATATTTATTATAATTTTTTTTTTTTGCGCAAACGAGCAAGCTTGAATAAAGCTTCTGCGTCAAAAGAGAGAGATAAGGAGAGCGAGAGAGAGAGATTAAGATAGAAAGAGAGAGCGCGTGCTCAAAAGTTTATGCGTTTGCGAATTGAAAAGCTCTTAGAACTAGATAAAAGTAGATTATGTCCATTTTGTCAGGGGACCTTAAAGTGTTTTTCCTATTTTTATTTTGTAATTCTTTGTTTGTCTAACTAATGTTTATCATCGTCGTCATCATAAATAGCATTAAGCTTAAACATAATTTTCTTTGCTTCGTTTTCCAATTAAAAGGCAACTAAAAACCAAACTTGAATACTCAAATCAAAAGTCAAACAAAAAGTAAACCAAGATAGCAAAGCGTAAATCATAGTAACAGCTATAGATAGATAGAGATAGTTTTGACAGATAGATAGATAGATAGATTAAGAGAGTGAGAGAGAGAGAGAAAGAGAGATAGAGACAGAATAAGTTCTAGACTTGTGCGCACCTTTCCCCACCAGCGCCATCGCCGAAAAACTGTTCAATGGGGTCCGCCTCAGAGGACGAGCCACGAGAGAGGCCACCGCCACCGGCACCACCACCGGCACCGCCCGGGCCTCCGGCTGATCGCAACTCTCGCGTTATATCACCAGGCAGCACTTCTTCGCTGCGATGCACCGTGAACGAGTTCTTACCCTTCTTTCCAAAGCCCATACGTCTTTTACGACCTTTGAGTATGGCATTATTTTTAGTAGGTATTGTGATTATTATTATTATTATTATAATTTTATTTTTTTTTTTTTTTTGTATTTGTTGTTGTTGTATTTGTGGCAGTTGTTGTAGCAGTCGTTGCCGTTGTTGTTGTTGTTGTTGTTGTAGTCGTTGTTGTTGTTGTTGCCGCAGCAGCATTCGTTGCATTCGACGATGTGTTTGTTGCAGTTGTTGTTGTTATTGTTGTTGTTGTTGAATTTGTAATGAGATTTGTGCATGTATTTGGTGGTTGTTGTTGTTGTTGTGTTGCGTCATGGGTCAAGTTGTTGGCGTCGTTTGTTGTTGTTGTGTTATTGTATGTTGATGATGGGGCACGTTTATTGGGTGATGCATTTGTTGTTGTTGTTGTTGTAATTGGTTGATTAGCGACACCATGATGTTGTTGTGGGGGATTTGCAAAAGAGGAAGAAGAAGCATTATTAGCATTATTACCATCGACAACGATATTACCAGCAGCCGGAGCACCAATATTGCTCCCACTACTAGATTTCGTCAGATGTTCCGATGTCATCATCAATCCGTTCATAGCGATGCCTTCTTTCCCTTTTTGCCTAGCTGATTGTTGTTGTTGTTGTTGTTGTTGGTGGTTGTTGTTATGACTAACACTAACACTACTCGCTGCTTGGCTATTGTGATTGGTGTACTGTTGTTGTTGTTGCTGTTGTTGTAGTTGTTGGCTACTGTTGTGATTGTGTTGGTGGTTCTGTTGTTGTGTAATGTTCTGTGACCCGCCCCCACCGCCGACACCGACACCAACTCCAACTCCGGCCACCTCCATGGGTGAGAAATTGTGTGCATTTTGTGCACTGGGTGGATGGGGTAGATTCCGCCTCCGCTTCATATAGGGTGCAGCGGGTCCATATAGCTTCTGCTGGCTCGTCCTCTGCAGATCTAGTGACATATGATTCCTGGCATCGAGGCCTCGACGATGCGGTCCACGAAAGAGGGAGGGTGCAACGCCGCGACGTGTCCAGCCCACATCCGAGTCGTAGGTGATGGTCACGATCTTGTCATCGGTGACCAGAAAATGCGAGTGACTCAACGGATTCACGGCATCCACATTGGCGCCCATATACGATTGTCGGATATTCGTCTCGGAGCCGTAGCGACGCGAGGCCGGCAATTGTCCATCGCTGGGATAGTTGAGCACCATTTCCTCCCGCTCATGTGGTGCCACCTCATCCTCATAGCGTATGCGTCTGCGACCCCAGCTCTTCGTGTGCAAATCATCATAGTCCAGCGATCTTGATTGCCCCTCGTGAAACATCCGACGTCGCTCCAATTTGGGTTTCTTCAATATGGATGTGGGCTGCGTCCGATGGGCGTTTGCCTCTGCTATGGGAACAGCTGCAACCAGTGCATCCTCGCTCAATTGTCGCGACAGTCGTAGTACAGATTGTGTTGGTAAAGGGGGCGCCGATTGCCCCAACTGTGCCTTGTGTCGCCGATGAGCCGTTGGAGTGGGCGTGTGCACATGATAGGTGGGCACTACGCCCAGATTCAGTTGTGGTCCAGTGAGTCCGCCCAGAAAATGTTGATCGACACATTCACCACACATGGCCGGATCCATGGTGGGCAGCGAAGGTTCCGAGCTGCTCGGCTGGTACATGGAGAGCGAGGGGCGACGCAACAGTTGCTCCGCCGTATAGGGATATGCGATTGGCTGATGCTGCGGATGGGGATGCGCATCGGCCAGACAGCATGGATCCGAACAGGCACCGATTGCCAGTCCTGGCGTCGACAGTGCTGTATTGGTGGACAGTACGACCGGTTGACTGCCATTCTGACAGTGACTGCAACTCTTGTCCAGATGATCCCGCACATAGCCCACATACGAGCTGGGCGAGGATGACACAGTGTGGGCGTGGATATGATCATGGGCGGGCACTGCATTTGTGGAGCTGCGAAAGAGATTCATGACGGGTGACGTGGTGGTGGTTGTGTTGTTGAGGCGCTTGAATTGATCAAAGCTGTTCAGCTGTAGCGAAGGCGGCAGCAGCGCATGAGTGGTGGTTGCATTGGTGGTAGTGGCGGGGGCGAGCTGGCGTCCGTTGTGGTGGTGGCGTCGTTGTTGTTGTTGGTGTTGGTAAATGTCTGACACCGGCAAATGTGGTGAATAGTAAACGCAATGCGTATGTGACAAATGTGGTTCATGATGTGGTTTGTGTTCGTTGATCTGCAGCTCCTCCTCGGCCATTAGGGCCGGTTCTACGAAAAACTGTTCGATCAGTTCGCCGCTATTCGTGTCCGTCACGAGCACATGTTGTGTGCTCATTGGCAGTGGGAGTGGTGGTGGTGGTGCAGCAACACCCAATAGTGCCGTATTGGGTGGCGAATCGGCGGCGGCCAAAGCAGCCAACTGTTGCAGCTGCTCGAGCTGCTCCAGCAACAACAGTTGCTGCTCTGTGCCAGCTGGACCGTTGGACAGATAGTCGCAATCATCCACCTCGATGGTGTTGGCGCGATGGTGGTGCTGCTGCTCAGCGGGATAATATTTGAGGCCAGTCACTGGGCCGCTAGTTGGGGCGCCAAAAAGGTTGCGCCAGTTGCGTGGAAAGCTGGCGGTTTCATTTTTTAGTTGATATCGGTAGCCATTCGGATTTGGTTGGGTTGGATTGGGTGTGGTGTATTTCAGTGTTGGTAAGTGTTCGGTTGGTTGGTTTGTGACGTGGTTCGGTTTTATCATGCAAGGGTTTGGGTGTGGTGAATACGATTCGATTTTTGGGTTTGTGACATAAAATACGAACGATCGGTTAGCAAATGCAAGCGATGGTTGGCGTCCGAGGTCAACAAGTGTTTTTTGTGTGGTGAGTTGTCATTGTGGTTGTGGCATGTGTGTGTGTGTGCGTTTGAGAGTGTGGTGAAGAGCACGCAAGAGAAGCAGTGAAACACAAAAGAGAGCAGCGCGCGCGCGTCGAGCGTTGAGCGAGTTTGTTTTTTTTTTTTTGTTTTTATCGGGAATTGTTTTTGTTTTAGTTTTTGGTTTTAGTTTTGGTTGTTGATTGAAAACACAAAAAGTAAATGCATAAAATAAACTTTATGTTTTGTTTCGGATTGACTTGCATTTAGTTAACAGTTGTGTTTGTGTGTGTATTTATTTGTGTATGTTTTCTTTTTGTGTCGATAGTTATGCGGTAAGCGCGATCTTCTGATTCGGTCACGCAACTGATTCAGAGCCTAATTGTTGATCAAATTTTGGATTTTGTAGCTTCTATTCGAACAGTGGAGCACCAATTTTGTATGTGTAGCCCAGAATGAAATTTTGGCAGCTTTGCTTTTGTATTGCATTTTTTTCTTTTGCTTTGGCATGGCTTATGGCGACTATTACGAAGCGGACGCGGGTGCAGCACGACGCACCGAGTTCGAGTAGCTCGGTCAAACTCACCTGAGTCCGCGCGAGGTGCGCGGCCGTTCCGATTGCGTGGAGAAGGCACTCGATGTCACACTGACCACCGACTCCATGTCCGAGTCACCGAATTCTCCCATAAAGTCCTTGTCCGGCGACAGCGAGTGCCGCGGCCTCATCCGCGCATCCATCGATTGCAGATCACTGTCCGAAAGTCCGGTATAGTGACGCTCCCAGCCGCCCATGCCAGTGCTGCGGTATGTAGCCTGGTGATGCGGCTGCCTTGTCCGATGCCGGCCGAAACGGCTGCCTGAGGCCAAGCGCTCGTCAAAGTCCTGACCAAGTCGATCCCGCAACATTGCGCTGCGAGAGGTCTGTGGCACCTTTAACCGCAAAAACATGCATATATAGAAATAATTAGAGAAGGGCCAAGCAACTAGTCCTAAGAAATAAACTACTCAACTAGTAAGAAAGTGACCTGAATCGAAAAATGTAAGTTCATATTCGAAATTTAATACTAATAGGGTTTATAGGTAAAAAGATATTGAATCGTTAACTTTAATAAAAATGTTAAAAATGATTATTAATAATTATTTCTATATACGAAGTTCTTGTGCGAAAAGCGCAACTGATCTTATGATATCGAATTCTGTGAATGAGCTTTGCTTGACACATTCAAGAAGTAGGGAAAGGTTTTATGCTGAAACGGATCTTGAATTAAATAGTCATATTAAGACTTAGAAAGATTGTAAGATTGTAATTTAGTGTCGTCTTTTTCCAAAGCAAGCAAGATTACTAAAATTCAAATGAAGTTGTTTTCATTACTAAACGAAGTACAACTATTTAAATAAAATTAAAAATGCTTCATTTTAGCTTCGATTTATATCACTCAAAATAAGAGAATTACTGAAAATTCTACTCTTCCAAAATAATGATGAGTCTTTATCGCTGACAATAACAATAACAATAATGCACCTGTGGCAGTTGTCGCTTCTTGGGCGATCCCGTGGGCGTGGCAGTCGCTGATCGGGACTGGAATCGCTGTTGCTGTGTCGCCTGTGCCGCTGAAGCAGCAGCAGCTCCGTTGGCCGCGTACGCTGCTGCAGCTGCTGGTGAGCCGTGTATTGGAAGCACTGGATAGTCAATGTAGCGATCGTCTGGCGGCGACAGCGATCCTCGCCGTGGACTGCTGCTCCTGTAGCCGTAGCCTGGGCCCGGATGTCCACCGGCGCCTGAATGACCGCCGGCACTGTGATAATTATCGCTGGGTGCTGCCGAGTGACTGCGTTGGCTCAGGCTCATGCCACCTGGTCCGATGGCAGCGCCGACACCATTACCACCGCCTCGCCGATAATACCCTGTGGCAGAAGCCTGCGTCAATCACGAAAGAGTAGACAAAAAATAATATATACTTTAATTGGACGTTACACAAAGGCGATAGGAAGAAGTTTCAGGCAATAGTCGGGTCAGAGCCGGGTCCGGAATCCAACACGGTTGAGAGCTTACAAGCTAGGCATATATTTCAATTACATATTTTTATATAGATATATATATTGTGAGTGGCGTGGTTCTGAATTTCATTCAAAATCGAGTGTGCTGGTGTTGTGTGAGTGTGTTTTTAATAGTTGGTTTGTAGTTTGGGTTAACTGTTACTGCAACTTCTACTAGAACACGGATAATGAATTAAGTAGTAAATGCATACGGAATACTTGTGTGTTGAAACAAAATCAATTTAACAACTGCAAAGCAGCGCTCCAATCAGCTGGAACAGAGCTAAAACTCTCTATTTGGCAACTGATAAAAGCAACGCTTTTCGATTTATGTTAGTAAGTGAAATTTAGGTTAGTTGAGTTTAGATTGTTTAGTTGAGTAGTAAAAATTCGTTATTAAGAAAGTGCAGTGAATTGTGGCTGAGATTAGGATGAATATAAATTACAGATAAATGTTTTTTTTTTTCTCTCATGAATGCATTACACTGTGAATGTCTTGGAGTGACAGAGACAAGTTGCTATGAAAGTCCTAAGGATTTCCAGCTGAGTTTTGTCTAGGATCTAGGATCCCGCTTGTGTTTACCTAGTATTTGTGGTGCTGTTCTGTTCTTATTTTTGGAATGTGACGTTAATTTAGCTTAGGTGCAAACCTGATTGTGATAACTTTGTCCAATGCCAGATACAGTGCGATAATCTCGTGCCACCATGCCGGCCACCCGCTTGCGGCCCTGGGGTGACATGTCACGTCTGGAGCGACGCTCGTTTAGATCGAGCTGAATTATGTGAGTTTAGTTTTTACGAGGTTGGGGCGTATGAGGATTTTTGGGTTAGTCATTTAGGGAAGCATATTTTGGATTTATCCAACACATTAACAACGCGCAACGGGTGTGAGTGGTATATATATATTTAGAGAGAAAGAGGGATAGATAAAGAGCAAGAGAACAAGAGGAAAGAATGTACATATGTGATCAAAATGAGTGGAAAAAGTATATTAAATGTGTATTAAAATGAGCTCATGTTAACTCTTACATTGCGTTTGTGTGCGAGAGTCTTTCGTATATAGTATATATATGTATTTATATATATATATATATAAATATATAAATATTTGGATAAAGTGTTAACTGACGGGTCTAATAGCTTAAAGTGGGTGTTTTTATTCAGTTTTTTTTTTAATGGGTTAATTATGGGTTAGATTATTTAAAAAGAAATCAAAAGCCAAGTACATAAGTATACATCAAAGCTACACACTTAAAGCTACAAAGAGAAGCATGAGGTAAAGCGATAGGCATGCATAAATTGGCATTAGGACGGTTGGCCTAAAAGTGCAGCTGATATAGTTAAAATTCATGTTTTTGTTTTGTTCTTGGTGATTTGATACAAAGTTGAGTTGAGAGATTTTAGATTTTTCTTTAAGATTTGCTGCATATTTTTCTTGGCAGTCGTTAGTATGTGTTCCCAAGTTATTTGCTTTTTAGTTTACACTAGATCTTAACCTAAGCCATTTGTGGCTTATATGACTTAAACTCTATGTTGTATGATTACTTTGATCTTAAATGCAAAGATTATTGTAAGCTGAAACTTGATGATTAAGAAAATGAGAAGACAGCGTTGAATGTTTTTTTGTTAACCGTGGAACCTTCAAACACGTCACGCTGTTGTTGGATTAGTTATATTTTTGGCTTAGGTTTAGTACAGAGTAAGTAGAGCGTAGATAGAGCTGCGAGTTAAGAGTTCAGAGTTCAGAGTTCAGAATACAGAGTTTAGAGATTAGAGAGTGAAAAATTTAACACACGCATAACGAGATAACGACACCAATTAGTTTAAAACAAACGGAAACAATAAATTGAAATAATAATTCAAACAATCAACAAAATTTACTTTAAACACAGTCAAATGTGTGCAAGTTTATGTACACTTAATGGTTGAGAATGCAAATCTGAAGAAATGACTTGTTCGAAGTTGAGAATCGCCTGCATGCAAAGTAACTGACAGGAACAGCAATGAAGCCCTCTGGGCATTTGCCATGGACATTTTGGCGTTTGACAATAGGGCGTATGCGTGATCTGTGCAAATCTGAAAGCTGTCCAACCGGCCAGCTGGCTGAGGATGCTCGAATTGTGAGATGAGAGACACATTTAGGGAATACAATTAAAGAAATTAAGAGAAGAATTGAGTGTATAATGGGTCAAAGAACACTTAACATGGCTACCGAAGTCTTTATACACTTGCAGAGCGTATGGCTGCCCATATTTGAATATAAGCTAGAAACTCTTTAAGAAATTCTCCGCAAAACAGTGTTTTATAAAGTTTACAGCTATTATTATCTGTAGGAAGCTCAATCTTTAAACTAGACTTAAAAAAAAAAACGATTTCTTTATTTTTAATTATTAAGATAAAAATGATAAGCAAAAAATATATAAAAAATTGTTGGCAATATTTTCGGGCCTTTTAAAAAATTATTTAAAAGTTAAAAATACATTTTGACTTGAGCAACTCTTTTCTATGGCCAAACATATATTTAATGTAATTAATAACTTTAGATTTAATTGATGCTAAATGGCCAATAGAGCGTTCAATGTCTAACACGCTTTGCAAATGTATAAAAAAAAACGACGGAACTGTTTGGTTGTGGCAGGGAGACAGTGGTGTGTGTAGTAGGTGTGTGCATGTTTGTTTGAGCTTGTTGAAGTGTCACTGTCTGTATGTGTGTGTGACCCCTTATGCGTCCTCACTCTTGTTGCTGTCAGTTGTTGCTGCATGTACAAATGCACATGTCTTTTTAGGTATGTATTTGTGTGGCTGGTATGTACATAAATAATATATAATTTGATTTAATTTTGGTGTGGTTCTTGTTGTTGTTGTTGTTGTTGTTGTTATTGATATTTTTGTTGAGTGTGGTTATTGTTGTAGTTGTTTGTTTGTTCTTGTTTGTTTGTTACCTCGAGCAGTGGCGGACTGTTGGAGCTGCCCATGGATGATATGCTGGCACCGGGCGTCATTCCATCGATGTCGCACTCGGACGTTGTGTCCGAATCGCTGAGACGCGACATCGTGCTGGGCGGTGATAAATGATCTGTCGGTGTCAGTATCAGGCCGTCCACATCGCTGCCCTCGTCACGTAACTGTTCATCGTAGTTAATTTTGTTGTTATTGTTGTTGTTGTTGTCGTAAATTTTGCGTTGAAATGTTATTGGAATGGAACAGAACGGAACGGAGCAAGCGAGAGCACGTGTTGTTGTTGTTGTTGTTGATTGGTTGGTTGGTTGGTGGTTTGTTTTAGTTGTGTGGTTTGTGGTAAGTGGTCATATTTAATTTTTTTTTAATTTGGTGTTTGTATTTTTTTTTTTTTTTTTTTTTTTTGGCGGGTGCACGACAAAAACAAAAGAAATATGGCAATGCTGAGTTAATAATTTTGTTGAACTGGACGGCTGCATGGGGGGAAACATTACATCTAATATAACATATAAACCGAAAATGATAAACATAAAAAACAGACATTTAATGAAAAACAATAAACTTGCTGCTTTTCATATTTGTGTTAAGTTTTTCGCTCAACAAACCTCGTTCCGGGGGCACAGAAAACCTCAATTAGGCTTTACATTTACCAACATCAACACTTAGTCAAGAACGAACGCAACGAAATGAACCGAAGCGGTATGAAATACGAAACAAATACGAAATGATAATGAAACGACAAATCAAACGAAACGAAAGCTTTCGATTTCCTTGGCAAAGACATACGAGATGGGAGGTGTCCTGATGCGGCTGCAGCTGATACCATTCGGCCTCGTCGTCGAGTATGTGATGGGCCAGATCAATGACCACCTCGCCGGTGAAATCGTTGGCGCCATAGCGGACATAGTCCCACAGCGTGACCTGTGAATCGATTAACATGTTATGATTAAGATTGAGTAATAGAAGCAATAGAGAAATAATTAGAAATATATCCACAAATTTGTACAAAGAATAATGGGATTAATGGAATAGTTAAGTTGTCGAATTTGTGTCGAATGACCAAAAGAAGGATCAATTGGAAAATGCTTTAGAAGATTCAATTATTCTGGTTAATTGAAGAATAATTAGAATTATCAATGCGAGAATTAATATGAAGACCAGTAGTATGATTGATGAGGGTCAATATAAGGATTATTTAAAAGTAAGTAAAAGTAAACTTGTAATTGAAGTATAAATTGGAGGATCAGTCGAAAATATTGGTTGTGCGAAGGATTAATAGGAAAATTAGTAAGCTATGTTCAGCGTAAGGCATCAATAACAAAAAACGGTGGACCAATAAGAAAATCAGCTATATCAATTGATATTTCAAATTAAAAATCAACCTCGCTAGGTGGAAGATTTATTAATTCGAGGATTAATTGAAGGGAAGATGGGGCAAGATCAATGGGTACATTAAAGGACAGATCAATTATGGATTTATGCCGAAAAACATTTGGGTGCTTCACAGCAGACTTGCCTCGAGCAATCGACCATTAAGATCGGAGCGTCGCAGACCCGAGTACAGAAAGGTCTGACCCCAGCGCGGTTCGCAGGTGTTGACGACGGTTTTCGTTCGCCTCTTCGACTTGTGGCTGCGATCGGGCAGAAGGAACACCTGCAATTAACAAACATTTGCGTTTGTTAGTAGAACACATTTGGATTTGGGTATATGTATTTGTTATCGGATCAAACTCACTTTTGCATAGGGATTGCGACCGGCGCCGCTCTGGCGCAACGATAGACCCGTTGCGCACACCAGCGTTACGATCAGTTGTAGCGTGGTCTGATCGTAGCCAAGCTTCAGCTGCAGCCGACCCTCGATGGGTATCGGCTGTGTCGTTATGCCCGTGCCATGATGCGGCACATGCGAATGGCTGTATCCGTGAGGATGTCCGTGCGGATGTCCGTGCGGATGTGAATGCGGATGCGGATGCGGATGCGCGTGCGATGGTGGTGATGGCGCTGCGGGATGACAATGGTGATGGTGGCCCGCCGTCGTTGTGCCGTGCAGGCCGACCGCAACGGCGGCTTGTAATGTGGCGCTGCTGTTGCTGCTGCTGCCGCTGCCGCTGCTGCTGTGACTGTAATTGCTGTGACTGTGACTGTGACCGTGACTGTGGCCGTGACTCGTGTGGCTCGCAGTGTCCAGACGCTGGGTCTGATGTGTGACAGCGCCACGGTGCCGCAATCCGTTGCCCGCTCCACCAACGTGCAGATCCGGTGAACCGGGCGAGGTTATCAATACACTCGGCTTATCCCGATGCAATTCGAGCGTTTCAACACCAGTCGCTAAATGGCAAAGAGAAAGATCTGGATTAAAAGTGCTTACAGAAACGCCGAATGGTACGTATTTTGTTGTGTTTATGGTTTATAGTGTGGCTTAGACATACACCGTATGTTTGTTGACAAGATGAGAGTTCTATGTGAATTATGATTGATTAGAGCTTGAGTCTAGACATATACATAGCTCTGATACTGCCAGTCAGAGATTGATTAAAAATATACTCTTAAAGTACGTAACAACCACATCGCCTAAAATAGAACTCCTCTAATCCAACACACTCCACACACCACACACAACACAGTTAACCAGTTAATCAGTTAATCAGTCCTCCCCATTTTACCTTTACGCTGAAGATAACGCCCTCCGCTGCTGACGACCGCGCTGCCAGCCATGCTGCTCGCCAAACCGCTATGCGGAAAATTGGCCGAGGAGCGTCGGGTGCTGTTCGAACTGGAGCAGGCACTGCTGGGGCTAACGTTGCAGCTGTTGGCGCCGCTGCTGTCCGCTGTGGGCAACAGCAGCGATCGACAGACAACCAATTCCACTTGTGCATCCAGTCGACTCTCGTCAATAATATCGTAGACCTCATCCGCACTCTTATTATGCAAGCTGCGTCCGTTCCACTCGATGATCTCGTCGCCTGATCGTTGTTGAATTGATGAATTCGTGTTTGTTTGTTTGTATGAATGTATTATATGCAAACGATTACGATAAGCACAATACACATAGACAGACAAAGAGAGAGAGAAAGAGAGAGAGAGAGAGAGAGAGAGAGAGAGAGAGAGAAAAGAGAAATGAGTAAGTTGAATGAGCTGAATTGAATGTTTGCTGTGGGGATGATCGTTACCTGGTCGTATGCAGCCCTCAAGATCGGCCACCGAACCGCGTTTCACCTTCTCCACAATGGCGCCACATGGGCCTCCGATACCGATGGGCTGACCGCCGTTCACCTTTAAGCCTAATATATCTTCACCATCATAGTATTTACGTAATATCATGTGACCAATCATGCGGGTATTATCCGCGGATGTTTGCCAATTCACCGGATTCTATAGATACATGTTTCGATATGTACACGCCGAGTGGATGGACGGACGGTTTTTGGTACGGTGGTGGTTGTGGTGGTTTTTGGTTGATTTGGTGGTGGTATTGGATGGGTGTTAAACGGTGTTTGATCGGGTGTCGGGATGATTTCGTGGATGTCAATTTTGCATAGATTTTATATTTTTATATATATTTTTTTTTTGTGGTGTAGCGGAATGTCGATGATCGTATGCAGGAAGTAGAATGGTTTATAGTTTTAGATATGCACCATACAAAATTCTTATAGTTATCTTAGACTAACATCTTATAGTTGTTGATTGAAACCAAAAACAATAAATTAACAACAATTGAAATAATATGTAGTTGAAAAAACATTTTGTACATTTGGTTTTTTACATTCAGTTTCACTTTTTGGTTTTTGTTTTTTTTTCCTTACACACTAGAAACAGTTTCTACGAAAGGCTGCTTGGATATTGTAGTTAGATAGTTTATAGAATAGTTATCATTCACATTTTGAGTTTGAGTTTAGTATTAGACCTACGTTGAGAACACACACGTTTCAATTCGATTATCGAAATTAATGAAAGATCTTGTTAAAGTTGAGTTCGGTAAATGCATAAAAATATGTGTTTTGTATAACGATTACAACATTTATTAGACAATAGCATGCGATACGATAAAGTGCAATTTCAATTAGGTGTGGACAATTGTTATTTAGGGATAATGGTGTTAGTAAGGAATTGGAACATGGAACTGGTACTAAGAACGTGCTCTAAGGGGAAACTCTGTGAGGATTGACTTAAGTCTACGGCCCTCCATGCAAAGGGATTTACAACAATCAACAACAAAAAAAGGTATTCAAAATGTTTAAGCATGCGTTTTGTATGGGTTAAGATATGTCAAGTTGTTTTGGTACTGTAAATGGCTGGCTTATGGGTTATCAAATTGGCAGAGAATTTTGTTCAGTGTAGCCTAAATGTTAACTAAAAATTTTGGGGTAAAGAGATTTCGAGCGCTAAACAGGCGATATAAGATATGAAAGGTAATCAGACGTATGAGAAGAACAACAAACATAGTTGAAGAGAGAAAGAGAGAGAGAGAGTGGGAGAGAGAGGGAGAGAGACAGACAGAGATAGAAAGGGAGAGTAGAGACATAGAGCAGAGATAGAAGGCGGTAAAGATTTAAAGTTGTGGACATGTGGCTGGAGTCAGTAACACATACAATATTGACAGACAGACAAACTGACGGACAGAGAGAATCCTGTGGGACCACAAGGAACACACTCAGACACTCTACACAGACACAATGCAATTTTGACGGGCTTAGAAATTGAAAGGGTCTGTTTTCTTTTTCTTTTTTGTTTTGCTTTTTTGCTTTTGCGTGCGCTTTACTTCGATTGCTGCTGTTGTTGCTTGCGGCTTTTGCTGCTGCTGCAGGATTTTTTGTACCTTGGGGCCATCGCCACGGTTCGAGTCCTCGCTGCTTGTAAATGTGCTGCTCGTATCGATGCCCGAGTCTTTGGTGGCCGAGTCCTGACTACCCTGTCGCTCGGCATCCCAGCGCGCCCAGTCGCCGTCCAGCGGCTGTTGCAGCTTGGCACTCGTCAGGAGCGTTGCGGCGCCCACATCAACGGCCGTCGAGGGCAGGATGGTTGTAACCGGCGGCAGTGTGCCCAGACTGCCGGATGTAGCGGCTGTGCTGCCCAGCAGCGTTGACGACTCATCATCGTGTGCATCGAAGCGTACGGTCTTCTTTATTCTACGCTCGGTGAATCGACGCGAATCCTGCGCGGCCGATGATGAGGATGTGCTGCCCGTCGGCTCATCCCAATAGGCAGCCTCTGTGGAGCTCAGTGAACTGCTGCCCCCACCGCCGCCACCACTAGATCCGCCAGCGCCAAGCAGTCCCCGTTCTCGACTCAGGCTGCCCCTGGCTGAACCGTTAGATGTCGCCGACATGGCGCCACGCTCATAGGGAATACCCAGACTTGCACCCGCTGCAACACCCACTCCAGCACCGGAACCAATTACAATTTGCGGCTTGTTGTGATGTGTCTGTGGATAGTAGCTGCTGCTGGTGCTGCTGCTGCTGCTGCCGCCGGCACAGCCGCTGGCCGCGGCCAAGGGCGGTGCACGACGATAGGCGCCACCACCAATAAGACCAACACCCGAAGCAGCGCCAGCTCCCACAGCAACGCCAACTGCTCGTTCGTGATTGCTGCGATTCAGCGAGTTGCGCTGCTGCACATCCAATCTTGCTGTTCTCGTCAGCGGATATTGTTCCAATCGCTCGCGATGTTGCAGCTGCAGCTCGTAGCGATCACGCTGATCTGCCGAGGAGTAGAGCCGCTGATTCGTATGTCCCAGCAGGCGGTAGTCACTCGTATTGTAGGAGCCACCGACGGTTAGAAGATCGCGCTCGTTGAGACTGCGCTGCTGGCGCCAAGGTTCCGTGATACGCACTTGTAGACGGCCGCCTGTAGATGTAGGATGTACTAGTAATGGTTGGCATATATACTCTTTTTGACTAGGGGTTTGTATTTATTTATTTTATTTTATTTTTTTTGATTGGGTTTTTGGGGTCTAAGGGGTGGAAGTAGTACTTAAGAAAGGGGCAGTTAAAGAGACTCTAGTTTGTGTATGCTGGGTTCTCAATTCGCTCGGATTTGGGCTTGCTTCGCTGTGGCTGCTGCTGCTGCTTGCCTGACATTAGTTTGTTGTCCTTTCGGTTTCATTTCGGCGAAATAGTGCATTTGATAATAATATAATTTTGTGATAATTGATGTGGTTGTTTTTATGTTAATGTTATTGTTATTTTGTTCATAAAGCATAAAATATATAATATTTAAATAAAATACGTATGGGCGTTTAAAGACTTATGTACGATTATATGTGGGCTACTATTCTTAGCACCTATCAGAGATCGAAGTACATTAATTTAGGTTAACCTATTTCTGTAAATCACTGTATTTAATTTTCAAAATATCCAGTTTATTAAAAGCGAACAGCTGAATGCTGCCTGTAAACATTTTGCCAAATGTTTTATTTGTAATTTTTTAAGTATGGTCTTTTTTTTATTTGTATATAAATGAATTACTGCCAGTCTTGGCAAGATGTGCTTTTAAATTCATAATTTAAAATTTTCCTCAGCTGATATGTATGCATTCTGTATTAAGCATTCCAACAACAGAAACTTTTTACCGGGCCGATTTATGGTGATGCTTTCAAAATAACCGATTTGTAATCTCCAATCTTGTCAAATATATGCTAAGAATAGTTACGGGGACAGCTGTATATGTTTTGCTTTAGATGCATATCAGATGTTAATAGTATATTTATGTATTTTAGCTAGTTTGGGGGTATATACATATACATATACCTACGTTGAAGAGAGCTGTAGACGGTGCCAATGTTAAAAAGCAAGAGAACTAGTAACTTGGCAAACGGTTTTTGACCTAGCCTATAAGTCGGTTGAGTGTAACATTAAGATAAAGTTTTCAGATGTGCTGGGGCTTTAAAAATAGTTCCAAAAAACATGCCAGACAAGGCAACATCGGGATTATTATAGTGCCTGGGGACTTGGATATATAGTTAAATATATCGAAACATCTAAAATACTATACTTATCTGTTGAGGCTAAGATGATCAGACATTATATTGCTTAGAGCTAAATACAATATATAAATGAACGTTTCGGCCTCAAGTTAACTAATGATTGGCTTTGCTCGTTTGCATGAAGTGAGAGAAGGGCGGCGGGGGGAGGGGGGAGGAGCCAGAACTGTGATTGTGTTTAAATCTAATCTGTTAAGTGATGTGTAAAGCATGTTCAGAGTTTCTTTGTGTTGTTCTTATTTATTTATTTTTATTTTTAAGTAAGGAGGAAACAGGAAACAGCGTTACGATATCCATGCAAATTCTTCACGTAGTTATTTTTTCTTTCTTTTTTTTTTGTTGTTTAAATTTACATTTACAATTAATTAAATGAAGTAATTAAAGAGAGAATTAAAATTGGAAAAACAAACGTAAGGGAAATTCAAAAAACATTTATGTGTACACAGCGCTTCGAGCGAGAGTGTGTTTGAGGGGTGAGGGGTTTCCAAAAACGAGTGAGGTGAGAGAAGTCTTAAAGCAACAGAAGAAACAGTAACAAAGATCCAGGGCAGAAGACGCGGCTAGGCGCCACTTTCCCGGACCCTTCACGTACACGTACACGTACAAAACATCAAATGGAAATAATGCGGAACAGGGATAAAGTCTAAAAAGTGTGGACTGGATTAAGTGCTCAAAACGAGGAAAAGTTTTTGTAGGAGCGATAGACAGATAGAGAGACGACATAAATTGTTAATTGTACATTCCATTTTGTGACTTTCACAAATTATAAGAAAATTATAACATATAACCATAAAAGACACACGCAGTAAAATGCCTTAAAAGTTTTTCATTTTTTTCATAATTTTTTTTTCGTTTTCTTAAATTTTTTTTTTTTTTTTTTTGCTTACATTTGCATGAATCTGTAGATCGCCGGGCGAGAGATTTGATTGGACACTTTGGACGGCGCCAAAATTACCTGCTGTTGTTGTTGTTATTATTATTGCAATAAATATTGTTGAACAATTTGGGAAAATTTTTCATTTTGCATAATCGTTTGTGGCGGGCATTTTTTTAAGTGGGCAATTATTTGAGTTTTTTTTTTTAGGGCGCACATTGGAGTAACAAATAGAAAGAGAGAGTGGAGAAAATATATTCATATTTAATATAAATAATAAGTTGGTGAAATTGATTTGGCAACACATTACTTAGTTGTATATAGACTTAGGCAACTTAATTAGCTTACTGCTTAAGATTTAATTGTATTAAGTCTAAATAACACTAATTAGCAACTATAAACTAAATGTATATTTGTTTTCTTGTCATTTTTATCAAGTTTAGCCATAACTACAATTGAATTTACTTCGCTACGAGCTGTGGGCTCTGTGTTATTTGCATGAAAAACGCAATGCGTCCATTCTTAAACTTTACACACACACACACACTGAAACCTAGTTTTATGCCCCACAAAAAAACACACACACACACACACAAACATACACACACACAGGCGCAGACTCACTCACACGCATATAGTTGTCCTCCTATTGTGGGCTATACCCCTGGCACACTTTCTTTTGACTTTGGTCACGATATAAAACGTTTATTGTACACGTAACGACGACAAAATAACGCAGAAACAACAACAAAATATAACAAAAAAAAAAAGAAGAAAAAAATTACATAAAAACAGCAACGACAACAACAACGACAACGTTTTACTGTAAACAAAAGAACTCACGAAAACAAAACAAAACTAAAGTAAATAACACAGTTGTACAATATTTAGAACTTGATTTTAAGGTCCCCAGAGTGATCGGCCAGCAAGGCAGACCTGGGTCATGTTTGGCTAAGTTTAAGTTGAAAGTTTTTATTGCGATTTGATACTATTGAAATCTGAGGATTTTCACATGAAAGTCTGGCTTCAAGAGCTATGTTTTATTAAAATGAATTCTCATTAATTGAATAGTTTAACAAATTTGAAAAAAAACCACGATTTTTTTAATATGCGGCATAAGTTGAATACTATATATTTCTTTTTTAATAGTTTATGTTTTTATGATATGATAATGAAAAGTATTTAAACTGAGCATAAATTCGCTTCAATTAAGAACTTTGGATTTTTAGATGTTTTTCATCTTTTTGTTTCTTTCTGCAATATGTGAAATATATTTGAAATATCATTTATATGGATTATAAATATACATATACATATGTGCATAAATCTGTTGATTTCTAATTTAGCAAAGCGACTTTATAAAAAAAATGTATAATTTATGGCAAACATATGTCTCTCGTTGTTGTAGCACAGTGTTTTTTCAAAGTCAAATGCCGAAACGCACGCACAATTGCAGCAGGTGGAGAAGGAGGGAAGCACAGTATGTCGACTGTATGCCAGAGCGAGAAAGAGCATTGCGAAGAGACGGCCAAGACGTAGAGGAAAAGATGGCGCAAAAGAAGGCAAAAATCAATAATGTGTACAAAAACACGGACGCTCGGTCGTTGCTGGCTGCCCTTTGCTGCGTGCGTGTGTGTGTGTGTGTCTGTCTTTGTGTGCTTGTGTGCGTGTTTGCGTGTGTGTGTGTGTGTATGCGAAGCTATGCACAATCATCGCATTGTGCCAAACGCACAACAACAAAAATGTTAAAATCAAACAAAAACGGCGCCTCAGTTTGTGTTTGTTTGTGTTTGTGTTTGTGCGTGTGCGCCACTCTTGCTTCCTGTTTTTATATTTTTGTCCATAAATTCTAGCCAAGTTGCCTGCGAGAGATTGCGCCAGCAGAGGCTGGACAAGGGATGGTGGGACGGCGGCCAGATATGAGGGGGGGTCAGGTGACGAGGTGTTTGGGCAATGCGGCTGGCAAAAGCACAGCAGGCGAGAACAGCTTGTTCTATTTTTAAACCAGCAGGCAACGCACACAAATAAACACAGGACACAAGCCCACACACACACAAATATATACATATATATATATATGTATATAATCGTATATATATATATATATATATATATATATATGGAAAAACAGACGCAGGCGCATAAATAGCACAAACAACAAGAGCTACGCACAAAAAGGCGTTGGTGTTGTTCGTGTTGTCCCTTTTGCCAGCCAGCCAGCCAGCCTCAATGTTCGCATTAATGTCACTCATACGCACAGTTGCACATGCACATGCACAGGCACACGCACGCACCCACATAAACACACACACACACACACACACACACACACAGTGACAAACGTGTTGTTGGTCAACATTTTAATTAAATTTTTCTCATTCCTACGGCGGCTGCATTCGCTCACATATTTTTAAATAGAGCCACAAACAAATATACACGTCGAGTGCGGTCTATATTTATTTACTTATTTACAGCTTGGCGGCCATATGCGACATGTTTCGCGTTATTTGCTGCCGTTTGTGGTTGTCATTTTGGCCATTTCATTATTTGGCTATTGATTTCGCTTTATTCATGAATTAAACTTAGTTGACACAAAAGAAAAAATGTACCAAAACTGTTGGCAACCTTTTTTTGTATGCTCGCTAATCGAAATGCAAATAAACAACCAAGAGCACAAAGGACCTTTTTTTTCTTACGCTGGCAGGCAGCTGTTGATGGCAAATGATGCGGAATGCATGATGAATGCAGTTGCAGAAGCTGTTTTTGATAGGACGGCTTACCATCTACCGCCCTTGATGTATACCAGAGAGCAGAGAGGGTGAGTAAATGAGTTAAAAGGTATCATTCATCAAAGCGCTGAAAAGTATGCTATAAATATGGCAAGCAATACTATTTTTAATACTGGCGGTGAACCCAAGAAAATAACAGCTCAAAATAAGTGGAGAGGATTGTGGCTAAGCTGAAATAGCTGCCAAATCAATTTTCAATTAA